CTAAAAAATCGAATTAACATTTTTGTATATGGTTGTTTCGGAATAGGTCCCAAGGTCACTTTTTAGTATTATTATATGTCGCCCGTGACTTAATAAAAAAAAACTTAATAGTCTATGCCTTCTTCCAGGCTATGTTCTACGTCTATGCCAAATTTCAACGAGATCTATGCAGCCGTTTTGTAGATATCTTCAACAAACTTGCATCCATACTTAAAAATATTCGTATTTATAATATTAATAAGATTACTAGTAGGTACATAAAATTACGACTACACTTTTGATTTTAAATATTGAATATCTTTTACTATAGAATACTATGGCAACATTGTTGTAAACATTAATTCACGAAGCTAAGTATTTCCTTCATCATTTAATTTGTTATTGTTATTGCATTAATGCATTAAATTGAAAACTAAATGCATTAAAATAGCATTCGAGTGCATTAAAACGCAGAGCAGTGTTTATAATAGTTAAATTATAAACTGCTATAGTATTATAAATTGTGTACACAATCTCGTTACGCAATCCATTTATATCGGAAGCTAAATGAAACACAATGGACAGGTGTGATAAATAACTGTTGTAAAACTTCTGGCCAGCTATTAACAAGATGCTATACGAGATGGCATATCTAAATTAAGAAAAAAAACTTTTATACAATACAAAAAATCATCGATGACTTTTGCTTACTCACACAGGATTCTTAGCCTAATTGAAATTGAAGAATACTATAAAATCCTAAAAATCATGCCAATACGGGAAATCATAAAAAAAAATTGTCGACCATTAAAAATATGGTTAACCAAAACAAACAGGATTGCAGCAATCCGACATCTTCAAATCGTTTAGCTTTTTGGCAGACACTTTCGGGGGTTTTGTCTTTTTTGACAACTTATAATATTTAATCTTACGATTATTGCGTAGGTATCTACGTGTTTGCGGGGCAAGAGGAAGTGGGGGGAGGGAAGACGCTTACGTCTATTGGATTCCCGCCAAACGAAACGTCCCGCACCGACCGTCCACAGACAAATAGACGCGGCAACTCATTTTTATATCTGTCACCGGTTGTATAAAGTTTGTATATAATACATGTTTAGGATAAAGAGAGCTGAGATAGCATCCTAAAATTTTATGACCAATTATATTCTGTAACTTAAACACAAAGGTAAAGTCATAAGCACTTAAGACCAAGCGGCCATTTTGCATTACGATTTTCAAGACGACGGTATTACAGAGTTTGTTTCTCTTATCAAAGTGTCAACAATAAGTCTAATTCATGTCCCCATTTTGTATTGCGACATTACTAATTTACTAGTGCACTATAATTAAGATCCATGTATAATAACGTGCAAATTACTAAAATCAATATGTAAATGAATATCGCGATATATTGCCAGTGTTGAAAAATATCACACAGTATAACTGGAGGTCGTCTAAATACAGTAAACAGTAGGTGCGTGCGCACCCACGCTTAGATAAGGCCACATTTACGGAGCAAACAAAAGCGATATGCTGGCAACACCGTAGTGTCCACTCTGGTCACCATACTTTATGGTTTAACAAGGAACTTCCTCCCAAGTACCTTGACCACTAAGGGAGTATTTAGTATGTGTAATCTCCGCTTAGTTGCACCGCCAAACGGCGTTCTCCATAACTTGTATATGTGCACAGATCGTCGTTTTCCATTTGGAGCGATCCGCTGAGTGCAAATTGGTACTAAACCGTTACTGCACTAGGAAATAAATTCAGAAGTTGGAATGTTATTAACTCTTGTTCAATTTAATTCAGGATTATCAGATATATTTAGCTAATAAGCAACATTATTATTTTTACTTATGAAAGAACTTTAAACTTCCTTTAAATCCTTTAAATTTCCTTATTATCATTTTTGGTATGAAGAGAGCACTTATTTTTAATGTAATTAAAGTTAAAATTTAATAACGTAATTCAAAATAATTAACATATAAGATAGTCATAGTGCTTTGAATATTAATTTCTCTCTACACTTTGTCAAGGAGATTTAAGTTTTTTCTCGTTTACAATGAGTCACACAACGTTTGGAGTTCGACTTCGGGCGCGGTCGCCCGCACACCACGCTTTTTTTTGGATCCATTCCAATATTGTAAGCCTGTTAAACAATAAACATAATATGTTATCTTTATTCACAATCTTTTTCAACGGGTTTTTCTTTTAACCATTGTTACCAAGTATCTAAAGATATTTTAGCTGGAAGTTTTTTGTTTGATTCTTTTGTATTGATACCATAATTATATATGTCCTTCATACGATGTTAATACTAGTAAGTAGAGTTGTAGATTTTATATTTATATCCACTGGGCTTTATGAACACTTGTCCAACATTAAAATTCTATAACCAAAATTGACGAGGCAAGCACACACTCTTCCTGTGTGCCTTAAAAAAATCTTTTTACATTACGAGAAGTAATAGAAGGAGTAAAGAATTTATTGTGGGACCCGATAATGATTATTAACGATGCACACAAAGTGTAAATAAATTTCAAGTAATTATCACCTGATTACAAAACAAATAATTCTAATTTCGTCAGCATTACAGCCATTCTGAGAATGCAATTCCAAGATGGCTGCACAGCAAACAGCTGACACAGAAATATTTTATATCATTTGTGCAATACTCTTGAGTTATTGATTTGCTGGTAAATAAAAATTATATAATTTATACCTTAGTTACAGACTAAATGCAGCTTTGACTACAATTTTTTTTGGCATATTTCTACCAAATTTCTGGAAATCGCGGCCTACAATGTGGGCAACATCTTCCAGTAAACCACCAATGGGGCAGTCTTGATGGTAAGTGGTCATCGGTGTTTATGAATATTTCAACAAACCTCAAAAAAACTTAACAAATACCTGAAAGTGTTATTTAGAAACTATTTAAAAAACAATATAGTATTTGTATAACTTTTTAAAGAGAAATTTATCTGTAATATTAACAACGGCTAAAATTATCCAACAGCCGTCTGTTCATATGAAATTTCTTTAATATAAACACTTTTGTTTTAATAACAGCCGAGTATAAGCATGAAAGCGCATAATATAAACTCGCTAATGTTTGTAAATACTTCAATTGTTTGATATAGAACAAGAGCTATGAGTTGCTTCTATTGACATACGTCACGCTAGCTGACCCACATTTTATCGAGAAATGGCCATCTCTAGCGATATTAAAATGCTTACAACGATCGCAATATTATTTCAAACCTTATCAGAATATACTTAAGATACATAATTGCCTAACTGTTCGAAGATATACAATATGTACGGCATTCGGATGTCCGGTTACGTAAATTCTCTGGCATCGGTTCGCGCGACCTTCCTAACAAAGTAACATAACGTAAAATTACGACTAAATACATTATTCTAGATTTTAAATTCAAATTCGATATTTAAAAATCGATAATATTTTCAAATCAAATTCTAACTGTACATGTCGAATTGAGATTTGAAATTGGAATGACCGAATTTGATTAGTAAAATACAGATGTTGACTGATAAAAGTCCGAACTTGATCCCTCCGCAAAGATTAAAAATCGGCGAGCGAGCTTTTCGTCAAATTTGTTCTGAGCGGCAAGTTTTTTTTTTAATGTTGTCAGTGTTTTGCTGCTTCCTGTTGGGCTTCTCATAACATACAGCCGGAAAGCAAAAAAACAAGATAATATATAAATGCAATTTAATTAAATGGAAAATAACCAACAAGATGTTATTTCCTCCTTGGATCCCTCCAAGAAGGAAAATTTTGTTTTTGACGTTATAATTTCCGTTGTTAAATTTAGGAAACTTCCTCAATATAATGCATACTTTGGTCGTAAAATTATTTTATGCCTATGTTATTACTTCTTTTGTTATTGATAGAATAAACTTTTCAATACATTCTAGACAAAAAATGGTAAACAAAAGTAGCATTTTTCTACTCGTTTTTATTTCTTTGTTTATCATCTTTTGACATTTATCTTTATGGAGCAACAGTTTTGGATGCTATGCAAATCCAGTCCAGTTTTGAGGCAAATTTTCTCTCATTTGGAAGTTTGGAAACACCAATGGCGACATCCATATGTTCCAGTATACTATTTAGGCAGTTGTGAAACAAAAATTAGTACGATTTTTTTTTCTAGATGTCACCTCATTTTCGTCCCCGTAGCGTTAAAAATAAAACAAGTAAGCCTATAAGCACAGAAGTCTATAATGCACTATACAGTCGAACCTGGAAAAGCGAGAGTTGAATGGACCGCGATAATTATCTCGCTTACTGTGGGCTTCTGATACCAAAATTTACGATTTAACATATTGATATCTCTGTTTTGTCAAAGATGAAAGACAGGGATGAAGATAGTTTTTATACAGAGATTATCTAAGAAATCCACGGCTATAGAGGTTTCTTGCTAAACCTATAATAGTTTCTCGTTCGGTCAGCCATCGGGACCGGACATTGACTCTCGCTTATCCAGGTTCGACTGTACCTAATACAAAGTACTTTGCTATTATTTTTACTTTTTTTGTAATAGTGCGATTTGTTTTATTTTTGCAAGGTTATATAATGTAACGGATATACAATGTCACTTCCATTCATATTTCGAGTGAAATCATATATTTGATTACTTGCCTGTTGTTGATAGATATGTTATCAAACCTGATATTTTGGTCAAATAATAATCTTCATACATATAAGTCGATTTAGTCACGTATGTTTATTTCCTTGTATAATATAATTGTTATGTAAAATGTAGTTTTTTTAATAATTATATTATATAATACAATTGTTTGTAGGCGTTTTAAATGACTTAATTTTAAATAATGCTAAATTTAGCACAACTTTTAAGTAACTGTATTTAAATGCATCGTTTATTTACAAAACAACAGGACCGAAGTTTCCCAATGTGGCATTTTATATCCGATTTTTTGTACTTGCTCACTATTTATAGCAATATTTAGAGGTTTTTTATGAAATAAAATTAAAGAGTAAATGGTATAATAATGTTCATAATTTATTTTCTCTTCCTTCAGTTTCCTCATACAATATGTATTCAGTATAAAACAATATTCTTTGTTAAATTTATAGAAATATATTATTTTAGTATAACGGTTCTTTATTATTTATAAACTTACAAATTATTGTTAACATTCTGATGAATCTTTTTGTATAAAAATAATACAAGCGGGCAACGTTTGCCGCATCCAACATGTGACAAGCTTCGTGAATGCATGTTGGAGGCGGCAATATCCCTTTCATATAGTCTATAACAATTCAACTTGTTAATTGGTATAATATTACTTACAATAATCTACAGAAGACAATGGTACAGAACAATCCACTGTAGCAAATATAATGGTAACAAAAAACAATAAAAAACACGTAGGCTACAGTTTACAAAGCGTAGGCACTCGAGATTGCTACTTGATCCTAAACACGTATACATTCTCACCAATAAATACATCGCACATTCACTCGCTCCTCTTAACAACAACAAAATGCGCTCATACGACCACAAATATATTATATCGGACGGCCTCAAGTTTTAAGACCTCTCTAGAGCACCGGGTCAGTTCAGACAATACATTAAACTATGTTTGTCCTTTCTCAATACACACTCTCACTCGCACAAGGCACGTGTCTAACACTCTGTCAGTCTTTCACACAAATGTTTTAGTCGCCGACATACACAACTTATCAGACAAGCGAGGGGGCGCCGGGTTAGTGATGAAAAATTAACCTTGTGCAACAAATGTGATTCGGAACGTCCGAACACATGGCCACCATTCCGCGAGGGCGGCGCAGGCGGAATTTTAATTAGCAGAACATCCGCTCGTGACTGCTGCTTCGCGCCGTTGCCAACCGTACCCTACGGCCGTCCCTTTCGTACTCGCGGCGACATCGTATAGCGTGCGCTCGCTCTGTACTGTTTACGACACCTTGCATCTGTTTATCATGTTCTTTCGGCGGATTGTAAAAAAAATAACAAATTTTAAGGAAACAATCAGATTGATTAGCATATTACGAATGATGGAAATCCGCTTTTAGTAAAGACGGCAACATCGCCGCAACGGGAAATCGGCCGCAGGAGTGGCAACGTCGCGCGGCGCAATCTGTCTACAATCGAATGAGTGACGTTGCACGATTATCCTTTCTAGTTTCTACATTATTCTAAATGAGACCAACGCAATACTGATACAAGGAGAACTGTAACTGCGACTTACGATAGAATTTATTTACTCGCGATAAGTACGTTCCGAAAGGCGCCGCGCTCTTATAACACGGGAGCCTTGGGCAGGGGTCTCGACATCACTTGCACCCTCTCACTCTCAAACTTTGACACCATCATTAACTTAGCGTCACCTTAACAACTAGAGTTAACTATATATTACACAGTAAAATTAAGATCACAAAACGCTTTGTATGCTGCGTCCGAGCGGGCGCGACTAGCATGGAATGTGGGGGAGCGGCGGCGGCGGCGCGCGCGATCAGAAGTGCGCGTCGATGTGGCAACCACCGTTCGCATGCTCCAGGACCTGCTGCTTCAGCCGGTGCACGTGGTCCTTCAGCTTCACAACCATCTGCGCCAGCTCTGCGTTCTCGCCCTTCAGCAGCTTCACCTTCTCTTCCAGCTTTGAGATACGTTCAAGTTTCCGCCGCCGGCATTTGGAGGCGGCCACTCGGTTCCTCTGTCGCTTGCGCTCTAGCTTTATTCTCTCCTGAGTGTCCATGTCGATGGGGGACAGCGGGGGCGAGCTGGACGCACTGGGCACGGTCTGGGGCTCGTCCTTGACGACAGGCGTGGGGTAGCGGTCGCCGGGCCGGTCGAGGTCGGCATAGACGCGTCGCGCAATAGGCGCCGGCTCGCCGTGGTGCAGCTTGTCCAGCGCCTCGACGAATGGCCGCGCGTACATCTCCTGCTCCTCGGTGGGCACGGCGGGGGGGAACAGCACCGCGCCGCCCGGTGTTGGCGTCGCCGTCGTTATCATGCCGTTTTGAATTATCAGTTTTTCGAGCTCCGGGGAGCCCAGCTTAAGGAGCTGCAGATCGGGCGAGGAGAGGACGGGCGCAGTACTCCGCGACCTCTTCCCGCCTCGCCCGAAATCCAGATCTAATGTCAGTGCCCGTTTCAGATTTTCCACTGGGCCGCTGAGGGGATACTGCTCGTCATAGAAAGTGGTCTCCATCCCGTGGCCGGAGTGCCGAACCATGTGTTAGCACTGAACGCCTCGGTATCACGAAACTCACTGCGCGGAGAAAACTTTCTCGTGCCACTGCACACGTCCGACGCACTCAACGTTCCACTTGTTTCTAAACATTGTTAAGAAACAACCACTGCTTTTATTCCATGACTCAGATAAGCTATTTTTGGCCGTAGCGTGATAATACCGAGCGCTCATTGGAGGAATATGACGTGATACTCGGAGCGGTCTGTCGCTATTGGCGGGCGGTATCGTAACGAAACGCGAGGCCACAGCGGGCTGTTTACGACTTGGTGCGATTACTGAGAATCGGCCGACCCGTGTCCATTGTGTTAGCGATAACGAGACGATATGTATAGATATTCAATGTAGTCCTAAAATAAAAATAAAATATTACATAAACATTCTTTTCGTTTTATATTAATCTCATTCATATTTTTTTTATAACCAAAGTCCATCCAAAATTTTTTATTTTTTATCTATCATATCTCTATACCAATATTTTAAAGAGGAAAGGGTTGATTGTTTGCATAGAATAGGCTCCGAAACTAAATCTTTCACTGTTGGGATGCTACACTGTCCACCAGGGGTGACATATATGTATTTATTACTAGATATTTTAATTTAGCGCGGACGTAGTCGCGGACAACTGCAAAAAGTAAACGAGAGTGCCGGGCTTATGATGTTTTGACCATATAAAATACTGACTTTATCAATTATTGTTGTTTTATATTTATATTTCCTCTGAAATCATTGTTTAAACCATGTATAGAAAAGCTGAAAAACAGATGTAAATAAAAACGTAAGCATGAATATCATTAATAAATATAGATAAAAAAACACTTATTAAACATTAAATTTAATATTAGCGTCAGTGATATTGCTTTCTTTTCTGTGAAAATAAAATAAAGAACATTTAATTTATATTTTTATGTATTATGGAAACACAATAAGTTGGGGCGAAGCGGAGGCGGGGTAGCCGCGCTGTAGAGGCAAGGAAATATATTCGAGCGGGCGAGACGGGGGATTGCTGTTTCTGCAAGTGCGAACAGTCTAAACATGTATCGCCATCTTTTCCTCGCAACAGATAATTCCAGGCAGCAATATTAGAAGGAAAATAAAGTGCATCTATATTTCTTTCGCTTTTTTTGGGGACCCCACATATGATTGATATATTATTAATATTAAACTTGATTGCTTTATTAAAAAGTGCTATTTTTTAGTATTAATATTTTTTACTTTTAATAATTTAAACCGTAATTCGAATTTATAAAGGTTCGTTAAGGAAAATCGCATCATTGAAAACCTATAAAGCCTTTTAAAAAAATTATAATGTCCGTAGTTGGATATCTAACATAAGGTCTGATTTACAAATAAAAAAAAACTCTTTACACTAAGTAGTTTATTTACGTTAGCTTATCAGTGTGTGATCCTTGTTAGTTTTAGTAAGGTGTGCTGCCATCTAGATGGAATGCCATACATTGTCCCCACTCTACTCAACGCTAGATGGCGCTGATCTTTTAAATTCTAATTCTCAACAATAGAGGACAGCACTGGTTTACAAATTAAATTAACTGAAGTATTAAATACCTTCAGTGTATTTTTATTCATCTTAAGCAAGCTTCAAATATATTAAATGGAGTACTTTGTATACATAAGAAATAACACAATCACTAAATTTACAACGGCTTATTTAAAATTAAAAATCGTAAATTGTAGTCATAAATTTAATGGTATATGTACAATTATTTGTCAACTATTCGTGTTTACTTGACGGTGACGGAGACGATCCTTACGTCATCGTAGGGTTTGTCCGTCTTGGGGTTGGTCTTGAGATTGCCGATGTTCTGCACCACCTCCATGCCGCGCACCACGCGCCCGAATATCGTGTGTTTGTTGTCTAACCACGGCTGTAATGTATCAAAGAACAATTTTAAAGAAATCTATAAACATTAAACATAGCAGAGTAGATTTCAAATATCTTGGCGGCTATTAACCGACCGAGTCGCTGCGTTAGTGTAGATAGCGGGGATGTGGGGGAAGAGCACTGCGCAACATGCCGAACACCTTGGGCCGGCAACTATACTTCGAACGCAAGGTAAAACTGTGTTAACAGATCCATTCTTCTCATGTTGTCATGTGGGTGTTCTCACACTTGCTTTAACTAAATGTTACTATTTAATTTTCTAGCCTTATAAGTACAAATAATGGTTAAATAAGGCACAAGTGACAAATTGATGCTTGCTTTGATAAATAAAATCAGTAATGATGTGTGGGTATAGGCATAGTTTCTTGCTAACCGTGGGCGCGAGGGTGATGAAGAACTGGCTGCCGTTGGTGTTGGGTCCCGCGTTAGCCATGCTCACTGTGTACGGCCGGTCGTGTTTCAGATGCGGCTTGAATTCATCCGCGAACTCACCGCCCCAGATGCTCTCTCCTCCCGTGCCCGTGCCTGCAGTCAAACAGCTATGTATATACCACATAGAAAAAAAAGTAATTTCATAGTTTGTACAGGAATTTTATGACTTTAAGCTGAAAGACACTGTTTAGATCGCCGTAACAAATATGAAATTTTAATCTTTGGCAAATTGACCCACGTTTTTTATTTACCACAAATAGTTGAAAGGGATAAAAACTAGGAGTGTAATAAAATCATATTTATTTAATGTCGTACCGGTGGGGTCTCCAGTCTGCACCATAAATCCTCGTATGACTCTATGGAAAAGGTGGCCGTTGTAGTATCCGCTTCGTGCAAGGCCGCAGAAGTTCTCCGCAGCGCGCGCCACCTCACCGAACAGCCTCACGTGGATGTCACCCAGAGATGTATGCAGGATCGCCTGCTCGTAGATACGCTGCACGCCTGCAATCACAGCCACGGTAACAAAGAGACAGAGGAGGAGCCCCACACAGATTATTTCCCCTTCCCATGTTTCCTTGCCTTGATTAAACCCACTTTCGAATTGCATTCACTTCTCATAAGAAAAGGGTGGGAAGGGAAACTGACCGCTGTCATGCAACAGGTTGAATTTTACTGATGTGTTGCTCGTCTATAATGGACAGGGGAGGTATAAAAAAGGATATTTCTCTTCCACCAAGTCAACTTATTTCCACGCTTTCTGTCACATAACACTTTCCTTATAAAAAATTGTAGACAGGAAAGAGGACTTTAGTATCTCTTTTCTTCTAATTATCAAGTAAAAGTAAACTGTACCTTGTCCCTCAGTAGCAGAAATAATATCTTCTTTGGAAGGCTTCTCATTGAAGATATCGCGGTCAGCGTCAGGACTCTTGACGTCGTCAGGACTGCGGCGGGAGAACATGTAGAACCTGTTCTTGCGGTACGCTGTACAGAACAGCGTGGGGTCCGTCTTCACAATCAGCAGGCTCGGGTTCTCGGAACCTTCCATCTCTAGTGTCGTTGCTACTTTTGATTGATTCGTACGACCCTGGAAATATAAAAAAAATAATATAAATAAACTTACTAATAGTATTTATTTATATTAATTTTTAAATGCGATTTTTTTAATAGATGTTTGTTAGTATCTCCAGAACGGCTTAACGGATTTCAGTAACATTTGGCTTAAATCTAGAACATAGTCTGGGAGAACATATAGGCTACTACTTAAGGTGTCTTTTTCATTCGTCGCGGACGGAATCGCTGGCGATAGACAGTATGTGAGACACACGAAATGTGCTTATTATTAATTTTTATGATTTCTAAAAGAAGTGTAGTTTTTGAAATTACAATTAGAAAATGAATACATATTCCTTGCCTTTTTTTCGTAGAATGGTAATATTTATTAAACATTACCTGGAACAGAGCTAGATGTAGGGGTCTCAAGTTCTCCGGCTTGGCAAGCATGGCCACACACCTGTTGGTGGTGAGGTTGACCAGCTTGACGCCCAGCATGGTCGCGTAGCACAGGAAGTGTCCGCTTGCATCAAACAACACGTTGCACAAGTTCACCCACTCTGACTTCTCCAGCTCACGTTCTGTTGCCATTCTAAATAATGTTGTATAATATTAATATAACAGTCGGATTTCACTACTGAAACTTGCATAAGCATATTGTTATTAAACATTTAGAGGATTCAACAATATCTTATGGCTTGTTTCTGCAGTGACAACCCACAATAAGACTATGAAGCATTTTGAACAAGGCGGAGCAAACATAAATTTATCTATATTAATATTTTATTGTTTCCATTGAAGTAACTCCATAATTGGTTAATCGATTTGAAAATTTCTTTCACTATTAGGATGGCACAGTATCCCTGAGTGACATAAGCTATATATAATACCAATTTCTTTTTAATTGCAGGCAAACTGAATGTGGTCAACTGCTAGTACTTCATAATATTGTAGTGACCTTAAGTCAAATAAGACTATTTATGTAGAAGCTGTATCCTATTAAAGTCATGAGATAGTTTAAGTAACCTGCGACCAAACTCCATGTTGGGTAACTGGTGCGCCTGATGCTGCAGATCCTGGTAGCGCTGCAGGCTCTCGTCCAACACCTTGTGCAGCTTGCCAGTCAGGAAGTGGAATACACGGACCTGTATCACCACAACAAACATTATTACATGAGTAGCATGTCTCACCTTTACATGGGACTTTTGTATTTACTCAAGGACACAAGTAATTCTAATAGAAAGATAATTAAAATTTATCCCGCAGTTTTTAAGTTTATTTATATTGTCTGAAACAATAATATGTAAGAAAATCCTAACTCTTGGCTATTTGAAAACCAACAGCAACAAAATCATTGTAAATTCCAGATAAATAAAGAGAAAAAAGGGCAAGAAATTAAAAAAAAAATGCTTTTTATAAAAATCATTAAGATTAATTTTAACAATAAAATTTGAATTACCTTCCGATCCAAACTTATAGACGCCATCTTTTTACCATCCGGTGAGAAAGCCAGCGCTGTTGGATATGTTTTATTCTTCACGAAATCAAACAGATCCGTTTCCAGTTTCGATTGGAATTTTATATTCTTCGGATATTGAAACTCATGTTTCGGTCCAGTCCAGTATTCTATGATTCCCGCCTTGTCAACAGAGACTGCTACTTCGTATACTGGATTGTATACTATGGTGACCACCACACTTTGATGTAGTGTTTCAAATGTGTGTAACGGTGTGCCCGAACTTTGTGTGCCGTCAAATACATAGATTTTATTTGTTGATTTCTCCGATCTGGAATAACATATGCAGTTGAGAATATATGCATAAATCTATTAATATAAAAAGCAACCTATAATCGATATGAAGGGATTAACCATTAAGTGAAATCCTAGAACACTTTTCTCAAGTTTTTAAAACTTTTAATTTTAATTTTGAAATTATAAGTACAAGTACTTTCTTAAATTATTAAATAACCTATTTAATTACATTCGTTTGTTTATTAAATAATTTTAAAAAGTAGTTACGTAGAATTTAATATTATCAACTAATGTGAAATATGTGTGTTTTAATCCATCCAAATCCAACATCCTTGTTGAGCCTCGTTTGAGACTCCAGGTTTCAAACTACTTAGTACTTACATAGCTAATGCAGAAATAGGATCACCTGCTGAGTGCACCCATTCCGCGCAGTACGGCTCAAATTCTATCGATATCATGTTAATCATATCTGAAATTGACAAGTATGACATTATGATAAACCAACATAAAAAACATAATAATAGTTAATTGTTAAGTACTAGGTAAATAAATTTATAATGTACAATACATATCTACTACATATTCAATGTGTAGTCATTTCTTTAACACAAACATGATTGCTTTACTTTTTACCAAAAAAATACTATGAATAATTTAATAAAAAAAACTAAGTCTTTTTCAGTTTGTTTTTTATGCCACAGATTTAAATTGTTTTTATGTCTTAATTATAACCAGTTTACAGCAACAGCAACTGGTACTGCTATATTTCTTTTATAGTAACACAGTCACAAAATAGATATTTTGTAATGCATACAAGTGTTTGTTATAGTTACTTTTACTACTTTTCAACTATTGCCTTGTCATTTGATTCGGCAAAATGACATAAATCAATAATAAGATTGTTCATGAATAATACTTTGCTATTTATCTTACCAAAGTTTACAACATCAAAAACTTTGACAGTCTTCTCCGTGGATGTGGTGCAGAGCAATGTGCCAGTACTGTTTACAGCAACATGGCTGATAGGTGCCAGGTGACAACGGAAGTGTTTCACAAATTCTATACCTTCCTCCTGGAAATAAATTATTTTTCTAATATTACCAATTACTTTTGTAAGGTGTTATATGTAATTAAATTTAAACAGTATGTTTTCGCTGTACTTATTGATTGGCATTTACAATATTTAACCTCTAAAATGTACTTGCCTGTTTCTTCCAAAATTTGAGATGGCCATCTTGACTGGCAGTTACAACAAAATCTGTTTTGGTCACCACAACATGTGTGACAACATCCCTATGCATGTAGCTTTTTTCATACGTTTCTGATGAAGGTAGATTTTCCAGATACAGAGATTCAAATTCTAGAACTGAAAAGATTTCATCATGTTATCTATTCCAAACCCAAAAAGATATAAATTGGTGATGTTCTAAAATTTTAAATAAACATGATACCTTTTCGTTTCTTCGGTTTTGGTTGAGCAGCTTCTGATGGCATTGGACCAATCCATTCTTCACCATCTACTTCCCCAGAGTTATCAGGAGTGGTTGGTTGTTTTTCGTTAGACATCTCAAGTAAACAAAATTATAAACTGTACAGAAGAAATGTATATTTTTAGTACTACGTCTTAATTTTTCATGTTTAAATATATCACTTCAATTCTGTTTGCTGATAATTCTTAAAAATAAAGAAACAAAATTGTTTATTGTATTGTGCTGCAAAGTTGTCCACGGTTGATGTGACACAAATGTCAAACTTCAAACTGCCTGTTTTGTCAAATTCAAATGACAACTGTCAATATGTTTGGAACGCACTAACCTTATACATGGATATGGATAGGCTGTTTGCCGTGGCTTTCTGTGCCACCTTGAGTTTCTCCCCCCTTGGCGGTGATGGTGGTGGTAAGGATTTAAACTGTTAATACAGATAGAATGATACGTCATAACACCAACAGTAATTGGAATCCTCACGATCCCATCCTTTTTTTTGACTGATTGCCACTGTTTGCCTTGAGGAGGCATTTACAGCTTCACCGGGCTTGAGGTGGCCGAGCGCAGATGGCACTTAGCCTAAACCTCGTTTAAGAGTAACTAAGCTCGAGGGCTCCCTCAGGAACCTCGGCTCGGGCCGTTACTTCGTTAATCCCATCCCATTCCATTCCAAATGCACCCATCAGTGCGAAAGTCAAGTAGATACAGATTACCTCGGCTAGTAGCCTGTCCATTCATAGCGGTCAGTGCGGTAGCCTCGTTAACGTTGTCAGATTCAGAACTTACGTTATTCTTTGGTCTCTTGAATTGTTTCCGCTGCTATTTATTACTGCAAAATATACGTTACAATTATACTTTCAGAACATTAATTTACTAACAATTTTCTAGATTAAGTTTCGCAAAAAGTTAATTTGTCGCAGTTTCGAATTAATCAATTTTTTAAACTGGCAATCCAAATAGCGGTTCCAGAGTTTTATTTTTTATTGTTTTGTCTATGCTTAAAATGTCTTTTACGAATTTGTAGCGATGGTGGCTGGCTTCCTTGCAAACTTAGCGTCGTAATTTAATAGCTTTTTCGAAATTAAAATTCAATTGTTGGTCGTGTAACGATCCTATTAATAGTGTTTTAAGTGCTTAAGAAGTTTCATAACTAATTGGTAAGTGAAAGTCTCCATAACTATGTCTAAAAACCGCGCTACCGGTGCTTCTACACGTGGTTCGAAAACTATACCGCGTATTTACTTTACCAACGTTTTCAATACGAAGTTTGATCACGAAGTGTTTTAACGCAGTTTTATTGAAAATTAATCAATTTTCATTTTACTCTTATACGAGCTTAGGGTGTTTAATGAACATGGTTAGTTTGACAGTGGTTTTAAATCGTTGTGACATACATATCGAAGGCAAATTATTGTGAAACGTGTTGCTTCGGCATTAAACAACTTTTTAAGATGAAAAAAGGGCAACGAGAATCTTTTAACATTCTTCAGTTGCAAGATTTGATGGCGGTGGTGGCGTGAAGTCAACGTTTCTTTTCTGTGCACATAGCTATGTACAAATGACGCATCAGCACCGTGAACTTCGTGTGGGAAAGTTTAAATTATCATTGTCTTATGTGCTGCTAAATGACTAGTTGTAATAAAGAATTTCAGTAAATAACCGCATAACCTTTACATCACTATTGAATGTTTATTTACACATTATTGTAATAATCAAGAAAAAGTAAATTAACATTTAACTAATTGTATAGATTTGGTTTCTCATGTATATCTACCAGTTTTTATTTTCATTAAAACTGAATTTTCCATTTCAACTAAAATGTATAATTTTAGGTTGGGTAAAAAAAAGAAATGTTAAAATTGATTGCATAATTTTGCACTTTCGTCAATTCAATATCTATAATAGAAAAAATAATATCAAAGATATATCACCATAGTGATAATTTTTATTATCTGACCTTGAGGAGACCTGTGCAGAGACAACAAACACTGCAACAAGGTTACATATGACAAAAGTTCATTACACCTGCATCAATATCTAAACCTGTATCAAGACTTTCAGTACAATCAACCTACTGACCTAGAATATAGAGCGGTTATGTTTTAGAAAGCATTTGTGCAATGTACAGCATAGCCCTCTTGTTACACTTTCAAAGTTAAATATTATTGTCATTTAACATGGTTTGGTGCTAACCTAACCTAACTTTTAGTTTTTAGTTTAGTTGGAATTGTATGTACAGGATTCTTTAGTGAGCTAGTAGTTAGATATTGGGTGTTTAAAGACGGGTGCAAATGCCAAATGGTTTATTATAAAACTGACAAAGATTCACTGCGGTAATCAAACTATATTATTTTATGCACATGGAAGGAATGAAACATGTCAGTTGGTTTAAGAAGTTTCTATAATCAAATAAGAAAATCTGGCCCAATGACAGAGGTGCTGCTTAGCTTGATTTGGTTACGGTTAATTCTCTTAGAAAATATACATAATCTACTTAGACAAAAAATATGATAAGACAGCTACGGTACAACAAAGATCATTTGTTATTGACAAGGTGGCGTTATTGAGCTATGATGAGAGAAAAGCCGTAGTAATGATTAATTCCACTTACTATTATTGATTTTGAGTATTATGCAATGAAGTTGTCATGAAATATACCTTATTTAATGACCAAGATGTGGTAATAAAGGGAAATTGAAAAAAAATCATAGTTACTGCCTATTTTCACTTTGCATATACTTTCACTAAAATCATTTCATGTTTATTCATACCTTGTTGATGTGAACAACTCTCATGTTGCATATTTGTATGAAAGTAACTCATTACATTTTTTTTAATGTGTTTTGCTGTAGTTATCAAAAGTCAATGATATGTTTATAGATTATGATTCAATTTAGTAACAGTCACTGTTATTTTTTTTTATTTTGTGCCTGTTCTTTTTAAGTTAATTTTTTAAGTATGCAATTGTTTTTGATAATGCTACTTTTTAAATTAAAAATACAAAGTTCAACCATCACATTATTTAAAGTTAATGAAGTTATATATAATAGTAAGTTATCAGTTGATTGTATGTTTTCTGTGAATTAAAATTACCAGTGTAATACCGTCAATTGGTTTGCATCTACGTCTTTAAATATCCTCTATTATGTCTCAATGTTTGTTGGTACACGAACCAATTGGTAACAATCAATCATAACTCGCCATGCTCTTGTTCTTGTGTATTATCACTGTTGGGGGTCAAGACTGCATGAAATTTAAATATATTTTCCACATGTACATTTGTCTTTTACGTTTAGGTAGTTGGAAGATAGGTTGCGCGATATACGAAGTATGCGTAAGATATATTTTCACTAATTGATTATGTTTAGTAAGTTGAAATAGTTACAATTCTGGGTAGTAATTGAACGTCGCTTAATGGAAAACGTGATTTTGTAACGTGTTTGAACAGTTGTATAGCTTCAGTTTTCCTACTGGTAATAGTTAAGAAACGTGATTATTCTATAAAATTTTATCGTGACGTACTTTTTTACAATCACGCTATTTCTTATAGGATTATAAGATGCTCGTTAATACTTTAAAACATTAATTTTAGATAGAGCAAACAAACGTTTAAAAGTATAAAATCATGTCTTTTTCTTTATAAAAATTCTTCTGTTCAATCTTATGGGAGTGCGAGCTTATCGTGTTGTAATGTTGTTCCAGCAATGAGTTCGAGCGTGTGCTACAAGTGCAACAGGACCGGGCACTTCGCCCGCGAGTGCACGCAGGGCGGCGTCGCGTCGCGCGACACCGGCTTCAACCGACAGCGCGAGAAGTGCTTCAAGTGCAACCGCACCGGTCACTTCGCGCGCGACTGCAAAGAGGAAGCCGACCGTTGCTACAGGTGCGACCACAATAACGTGCAACACGCACCTCATAATACACGCTATCTCCTCTCTGTTTATTTAGTCTGTACTCACGATAATTTCGATGTTGATAAGTCCTCTTCTCACATAAATTGTGTTGTGTGGCATAATATTGTACGTACTCCGCAGTTAATGTGTGACTTTTCTCAAATCAATATAGTAAGCGAGTAAAATCCCAGCTTACTATCTTAATACGACTGTTTATTAAATAATTAATTAATTAATTAGCTTTCTATTTATCAAATTAATTCAAAGGCGCCGACAACATGTCTTTTATCTTTAAAATTTAATCTACAAAAGCCATCACATGTGACCTTCATTCGACAGTCCGACCGAAATCTGCCACTAATAACATGCCTACCCACAACCACATGAACTTGACCCACCCTAACGCCCTAATTGCCTCCCACTCTGTGTCATAAGTCTCGCACGTGCCACGAGCGCCGTTCTAATCGGATTGACCCTTTACACATGCCCTACAACACATCGCTCTAACTAACGTGTTAATAACATTAGTTGATCATCAGAAATTATTTAAATTTTTACAAACCACAGGGTTTGCCACTATGTATTATACCCTATTGTGCTCAATTACTCTCGCCTGGTGTTTCGAATGTTCTTCCCATTTTATCCCACATTATATTCATCATTAAACTGTCAATATTTGTTTTTCAGCACATACATCAATGTAAGTTTTGTTGTGTCACAGATGTAACGGTACGGGGCACATAGCGCGCGAGTGCGCGCAGAGCCCCGACGAGCCGTCGTGCTACAACTGCAATAAGACGGGGCACATCGCACGCAACTGCCCTGAGGGCGGGCGCGACAGCTCTGGCCAAACGTGCTATACATGCAACAAGGCGGGGCACATCTCACGCAACTGCCCAGACGGCACCAAGACGTGCTACGTGTGCGGCAAACCCGGCCACATCTCGCGCGATTGCGACGAGTCGGAGCGCAACTAGCGCGCCGCTCCGCCGCACCCGCACTCGGACTCTAAGCAAAGGATCCCGACACCCACACACTTGTACCACGCACGCGGCCCCGTGACGAGACTGAGAGAGCCACTTGTACATACGTCGCCCGCCGATACGTTAGATGTTTGTTCTTGCACGTGAACGAGTTGTGTTTTTTAAATCATTTAATAATCGTGATTGAACTATTGATGAGGGTAGAGTTACAGTTTTTAGCATTACAGAGTATATATTTAATATATTTTGTACAGATTTATTTGACAAAAAAGAGATAAATTGGATGATGCTGGCGTACCATGCGTTTTCAATGAGGAGTGGAGTGGAGGCCTGCACGGCGGAGTCGACCCCTTGTTCTGCAGTAGCACGCTAGACCGTGACTATCCCTCGCCCGTCACCGCAAACATCATTTTGTTTTTTCCGATCTTATTCCTTTGTTTATGAAGTCCTGCTAACTTGTCGAGAATTCAGTGGTTAATTAGAATTTCATCAATCACAATATTTTTTATTTTGTTATCCCTGTTGAATGTGTCTATGTTGAATGTAAAACAGCTTGCAATGGGAGATAATAAACAATATTGCCTTATTTTTCAAACTTTCCATAACGCCCTGAATCTTTATTGTATTTATGTATATGTATATATTGGTGAACTTTAGCCAACATTTAGAATTTTTTATTATTTCCGTGACCCATTCAGAATATTATTTAGTTTACATTAAGTTCCATATGTGTAAGATAAAAAGCCTCTCCATTTTATAAATTAAATGAACTATAACCAATTCCATACTTAATAGCGTGTATTTTGTATCATTATAAGTAAGTATCAGATTATTAGATTTCATAATTAGAGAATTTAGGAAATTCGTTATGTTGATTGACATATTCATGAGGCTTTTGAATAAAAAAAGTAATGTATTAAAATTTCACGTCATTGGTACATAGAATTGAACATAAATTTATAAAACCATGTTGTAATTCTTCTTAGTAAATAATTTAAAGTCTCCTTATTGTTAAAATTTATATGTAAGTTCTTATGTCTTGATTGCAAGACAAGTACAATAAAAATGCCTTAATAATTCTTTGTTCCTTTCCTGAATGACGTGTGATTTTGTAAAATTAAAAATTATATGTATTAATTGCTTCAAAAAACAAAATTTATTACTTCTGCTTTTGTTTATTGAGCAACTTTGAACATAATAAAGTTATCACCTTATATGTCTTATAACAAAACACAAATTACGAAAAAAGAGAGTCAAGCACCTTATCCACAAAATAAATATAGGTACATTATCAGGTGGCCGCTCGCTCGTTTGCCACCTTAATATAAAAAAACCAACAACTTGTACCATAAAATAATTTTGGTAAGCATGCATAAAATTAAATAGTCGATAATAGCCTGGGTATATATATCCTGGGTTAGGGGTACCTTTACGTAAACTTATCTTGGCAGACTTTCTATAGGAACAATTGAACCTTACCATAGACCTTCCTAGAATCCGTCTTTCCATGTGCTTGGCAGCTGCACCAATTTACGATCTAACACATATGCAAATGTAGTAATTTGTCGTAGCATTAAAATAGCAATTGTTATAGTATCCGCCAATGATTGAACATCGAGAGCGGTGGAGCCACAACCTTCGCAGACAAAAGTAACAAAAAAATGATACTGGCTAGGTGGTGGAACTACCTGTGTTTTACACATCAACCTTTTTTATCGCGGCCACCTACTTTCAACAAAATAGCGAAGCTACTGCTGCCCATAGATATCTGGTCTAATTTTGCAGATGTATTGAAGGAGAAAACGCACAAAAAAGAGGATATTTCTTCCTATGCATCCCCCCCTCCCACGGTTCCACCATCTGTTCTCTACAAGAAAAGGGTGGGAAGGTGAAAAGAAACAAAATTAGGCCTCGGGCGATATGCGGAATCGTTTCCACTGTCTGTCTGTCGTCAGTCTTATCGGTGGTCGTGGTATTTCACCGGTAGTGTCGACCTATTCGTGCTTACCATTGTTGCTGTCTCTACCACTGGTAAAGAACCACTAAATAATAAAAACGTTTTTTAAAAACCTACCGTTAAGTTTACAGTGCACATTTTCATACAAATAATTCATTAGAATGGACAATCAAAATTCGAACTTTTTAATTTTAACATATCGAACTAATAGTATAAATTGCGAAACTGTAAATATATGGGTGGATGTTTGTTAGAAAAAATATCCAAACCGGATCTCAATTAAATTTGGTAATGATGTTGATGTACAACATATAGGCTAACTAAGTTTTATTTAATTCCACTCGGACGGAGTCGACAGTTATAGTTATTATATAAAAATTTTAAGTGCATTTATAAATGCTTTTCAAAGGCAAATTGCTTTTTAAATTTTCGTGTGTTGCCAGTGCTGGCAGAACCAGCAGATAGTATTGCAAGGATTGAGTTTAAAATAAAAAAATCTAAATTTAGACCATACAAATAAAAATAAATAAGTTAATTTGTTTTTATATCAGTATTAATAAAAATTTGTAATAATTTTATTAATGATTTAATAACTTCTTTTCGATTACTTTTTTGACGATTATCCGCAATTTTCCGATTACCGGTCTTTAACTTTTTAATCTGGACGGGCGTGGTGCGGTGCGCTTGCGCGAGTTTACTTTCTTGCATCTTTTTCTTTCATAAATGAAGTGAGTAATGACACCGTGTAACAATCTTGTTTGTTTGGTTTAAATAACTATTTCAATGAATTACAAACAGCAACATAGTTAAACTTTATATTAAGGAATTCATTATTTTAATTACAGTGTGGTAGTGAAGTGAGTCGTTGCATTTTAACGTTCAGTGTTTGAAAAACCAGGCGTTTCCATGGGCGTTAACTTCAGGTTAAGTATTATGATGTTATTATGAAAATAATATATGGAATTGATTAATTTATATTATAGATAAAGCTTTTAGAAGTGTTAGTGTTATCTGTAAAATATTAGCCATTTGAATTCCCTCTAGTCCGTGATTATTTCCGCATTGTTTACGTTCCTTAACGATCTTAATTCGAAACTTGTTTTACATCATTTTTCGTTACGATAATTTAAGTATGCGAAAAATGTTAACCGTGATTTACAAAAATATAGTTTTGCTCGAAAAGTAACTTTTACCATCACACATTTTAAAATGCCGACATATGTTAATACGAGACAACAGAGAGAATCTATTATACCACTATATCAATTCGCGCAATATTTGAGCGTTTTGAGGAATAGCTATTAGATTTTAATCTATTACATGAAATCCTATAAGATTCATAGTATAAAAGTTGTTAATGTTATAAAACTGATAATGTACAGAGATTGAATTAGTAAAGATAAAAACTTTATTTTATTTTTAAACATTTAGAGCTTTTTATACCATCATGGGCATGCTAAGAATAAGTAATCAAAAATTTTGCCTGCCCATTGATTTAGGAATACATGTTAGACAAATATAAAACATTGATGTTTAAGTATACAAAAAAGAAGATAGATAAAGTGGCTTTGAATTGACCTGACAATAATTTTATTTTTTCAGTATAAATTCACATTCAAACTCACAAGGCTCAAAAGAAATAAAACTAAAATATTTTCAAAGCTTGAAAAATAAATAGAACAAAAATCTTTAGAAAATTTGAATTATTATTTAAGACCATATAATGTAGCAGTAATTTATCCGAAATATAATTAACATTGTAATTTTCAGTTCATAGTTAAACATTTTAAAAATAGATTAAACTGTTGGCCCATCAATCCTGACTAGCTGCCAGTTACTTAACCCAAATGAGTGTTTATTTTTAGTGGAGCCTCTGCACTGCACTATGTTGAATGGTTATATTAAAGATATGGTTTTGTCTATTTTAATTACTAATATTATAAATACTTACAGTATATTGTAGTAAAGCGCATCAGGCGCGCAGGAGTTAACCTCTAGATTTGTAATTCGCAGGTCCTGGGTTCGAATCCCACCAAGTACCAATGTGTTTTTTTATTTTCATATGTTAATTTATCCAATGTTCTTATGGTAAAAGGAAAACATTTTGATGCAATTTGTGCAAATTTGCAAAGAAATACAAAGATATTTATGTAGTCTACTAACCCCCACAGGGCCAGCGTGGTTGACAATGGCCAAGTCAACCCTTTCAGGGTAGGGTCCAAGCTTGTGGCTGATGATGATTGAAGTATGCATTTATCTATTGTCTTTGTAACATATAAAATTAATGTTTTTTTAAATAATTATTCAGCTCCAAACAGATGTATGTCAGCTGTTGCAAATGCAATAGTCTATTATACATTTATAATCTGTATGTTACAGTATTGCAATGGAAAATCATTTTTTTTTTTATAAAAAATATTAGCAGTTTTTTTTTTAAATTTACTAATATTTCTTTTACCATTCCAACTAAGCTCTAGGCTTGTACTAGGATATGGTTTACGACAATAGTCGAATGGCGGGATTCGAACCCCCGACCTCGTCATCGGAAATCCGTATCCTTAACCATTAGGCTATTGACGATTTCCATTATATAAAAAAATAGAATATTTGACTAGAGCAGTATGTTCTATAAGTAAAATGTGTCTGAGATTTGATGTTCAGATCTGCCAGTGTTAAGACCATTTTCCACTCGCGCGATTATTGCCGCGCGCTATTCCTATGTCGACATCTGTAGTCATTTAAAAAAATAACAGCTGCGATTAGTCCGATATACGCTACTGGTCACATTGGTGGAAAAGGGGACTAAATGCTAACGGAAAGTATAGCATCGTTAACTGATGAACTGCAGCGTTCTGCGTGTATTATATTTCCGTATGCCGGCTGACCGGTTTTTAAGAATTCTGATGGTTTATATCTACGATAAGCTTAAAATTAGGTTACAAACATGGGAGAATATATTAGATATATTAACATTGTAAATGAGTCGCCTCGTTAACTGAAATATATTCGACAAATTCAAAACATTTCGTTTGAATTTAGCGATGTTCTTCATGATGCAGCTACATGATGCAGCTACAATTCAGGTGGTATTAAAGTTCAAACAGTAATTGTTGAAAGCCAATTTAAAGGTATTGAATTACCCCGATTTTTATACGGGTCAACCCGCTAGAAAATTACGTCTCAGACAGTGGCGCGTAATATCCTTAATCCAATTGAGTATGGGAAAATAGGTTTCCTTAGTGAATGCCTGTCACTGGGTTTTTACGTAAATGTAAAAAAAAGCTCTTACGACTATAATATATTGAAAAGAGGCACTTTTTGATCTTATAAAGTGTATGAAAAAGTAAAATTCGCTAAGGACTTGGCATGAACATCTTTTATTTACGTCAATTTCTTGTTACAGGTAGCCCTAAAAGACTGAACAATGACTCACATAGGTTTATACCTGACACTGATATTAACTCTACATATATGCACGGGTCAGGACTATGCCACGCCAACTTACAATCCAGATGTTCAGAACCCGACAAATGATTACTACAACAACCAGTACGACAATCCGTATGATCCAAACCGGAGGTTACCGAATCGTAATCAGTACGACATAAACCAATTCGAACCGAACCGGAATCAGTACGGACAGTACGACAGCCGTAATGACCAGACGTACCAGAACCCTTACGGTGTGGATAACACGCCGAAACCCAGCTGGGACTCTGGCAGGAGTTACAGCCCATCGTTCAAGAGTTCGGAACTTGAACATGACAGCGTCATCATAAATGAAGCGTGAGTGTTTTATTTTCATAACAAACATCTTTACTCAATCTTTTATGCAATCAGAATTCAGAAGACGTGTCAGAGCTAAATGCTCAATTAACCATTATGGTTAGCCTATTTGAAATTACTTTATGAAACTAATTGTTATGGTATTTTCAGTACATACTTCATAGTGGCGTCCCGTATGGTGCGGCCTGGTCAAATATACAAGATCTCGGCTAACATCCTGCGCGCGCGCCTACAGATGACCATCCGCGCATCTATCTCGCGTAATGGCGTCGAAATTGCTGACGTCATCGAGAAGGTCAAGGAAGGAGTGCCCGAAACACTAAACATGAGGGTAAATACATTCCAACAATTTGCTGATCTATTTCTTTAACAAGAGATGGACAGGTTTTTAAGAAGATTTCTAACTTATAAAACCTTTGGGGTCAAATGTGGAAATACGTAACATAACTATAGCTATATTCTTGCAATAATGCACAAACATCAAATTATGATTGATGTCGTGCGGTCGGCCTTTGTCAATTGTGCACAATGAACCAGTCAGCGACAACGGACTCGTGACTGAGCGGGCACGCACAATGACCAGCCGTTACATACCGACAAATAAATCATGTTTGATATGAGTGTCGAATTGGAATAAAATTTATAACTATTGATTTTCATTTGTTTGAGAAATCAACTCTAAAAGATGGTCTTCATAACCATCACCTTCATGACTCCGAGCGAAGGTGTAAAATTTTAAAAGATGATAAAGCAATTATCAAAATGTTTTCTATTTGTAAATATAAATAGCTTCCAATAAGACATCTTTTGAATAATAATTTTCAAATTAGTTAGCTTATATGATGTTTTTGATGCTCAGGTGCCAGCCACATCAGTGGGGGGTGACTACAAGCTGCGCGTGGAGGGGCTATACCTAGATGACCCGTTCGGCGGACGAGCCTTCATCAACGAGACCCAGCTTTCTTTTTCGAATAGATTCATGACCATATTCATACAGATGGACAAACCTGTCTACAAACAGGGACAAACTGGTATGTGACAACACTATGGTAGTCGGCCATTACCTCTGACAATATATTTAATGAATTTTCTGGAAATTATAATATCTTACTAATGTTATAAATGAATGTTTGAATGGATGGATGTTTGTTAGAAGGTATCTCCCGAACTGCTACATGGATCTCGCTGAAATTTGGCACAGATGTATAACATAATCTGGAAGGACACATAGGCACATACAACTCCGCGCGGACGGAGTTGTGGCTGACTATTTAATTCTAAATGTGTAATTAAATCTTTTTTGTAAAATTTACAGTGAAATTCCGTATAATACCAATCAACACAGAACTGAAGGCTTTTGGTCGTGCCATTGACGTTTACATCTTAGATCCCAGCGGTAGAATTATGAAGAGATGGCTCTCAAGACAGGTTAGTTATTAACATTAGTTGTAACAGTGGTAGAGCTCACTTTAACATGTTCGCACGAATCGGCCCGGCTCGCCCGGTGAAATACCACGACCACACAGAAGACAGGCGTCAAGTAGAAGCAATACCGCGTTTCGTCTGATGAGTGTGCGTCCCGGAGGCCTAAATTAGTCCTCATTCCCTTCCCAGCCTTTTTTTTTATAAAAAAAAGATGGGAAGTGGAAGTGGACTTTCCGGATGAGGGGATGCATGGAAAGGGAAAATATTTTTTCTTTCGGTGCATCCTCTCCGTCGATTAAAGGCAACGCATATACAATTGCATATGTCTATGGACAACGGTCACTTCGCTATTTCAGCGACTTCAGGTGGCTGTTCGCTCGTTTGCCACCTTATGATGTAAAAAAAAAGCTTTGACAAGCTTATGTAGCATTTATTAACAATTTTCACCTCAGGTGGTCTTGTATATATAGATCACAATGCTAATGGTTATTTAAGTATGAATTGTGAAACAGAGACTTATTTCTGAGTGGTTGTTTGTATGCATTGAGTGTTCTTTGACCAAGACAATAGTGAAATTAAACTCATGCTACATAACATGCTACATTATGGAGTAGTACATATCTTGTTATAACTATATTCATGTCATTGAATCCTTGTTTTATTTCTTAAAATTATTCCAGATGTCAATTTAGGTTTTTACTTCTTACCTTTTTGTAATAAGAAGAAAATAGGAAGGGATGATATGATTGACGGGGGAAAATCCATTTTTCATTTTATCCCCTGTCGATTTAAGATAGGCAATGAATCTGCAACAGATTTTTGCAGATGTCTAGGGGTAGAGCACACTTATTGCCATTTTCTAGGGTCTTCATATAAAAGAAATAAGATCTGTCATATTTCCATGTGTTCCCCCATTGAAGAGCTCGGAGCTAACCCGAGTTAGGGTAGCCCTATGAGGGCGGACATGGCGATGATCGAACCTGGTCGTTTATATTTCGGTCCGGTGTAGTCAAGCACTTATTAACTAGTATGTTTCAGAGTAACTTTGGTACGGTGAGCCTGCAGTACCAGATGTCGGACCAGCCGCAGTACGGCGAGTGGGCGGTGCGTGTCGAGGCCCTCGGACAAATGGAGATCGCGCACTTCCTCGTCGAGGAGTACTACCAGACCAGATACGAGGTAAATATTACTATACTAAGAAACTGTTTATGAATTGCAATGGCACAATTATACAAATATTTCTTAGTGATTATGGTTTCGAATATCAAACTACATATTTGAAAGAAAAAAAACGAAATTTTGTTCAAACTAAAAAAACCCTTTGAAAAGTGTTTTCTGTTATGTTTATTTTTTAATTCTTTATTGGGCATAAGGAAGGGGTGTCCGGTGAGAATCATATTGAGTAAAGAATAGGATTACTTCTACTAAAATACTATTCAATTGAGTTATTTAGCCATACTAGATTTAAAACATACCACACCACTCAAGTTAATTACACTTCCAGGTGAACGTAACAATGCCAGCGTTCTTCTTCAACACGGAGCCGTTCATCCACGGTCGTATAATGGCCAACTACACGTCTGGTGCGCCAGTCCGCGGCAACCTCACGCTGAAGGCAACTGTGCGCCCCATACCGCAGTACCGGCCGCGATACTTTACACAGGGACAGTTCAACAACAGAGGACAGCCTGGCGCATACGGCACATATCCCACCAATCAGTATACCAGAGGTAACAACTCTCGCATTCTGTCATTATTTGCTCACTAAGGAAGTCTCTTGATAAAAAAATTGTGTGCTAAATCTGTACTAATGATACAAAGTGACTAAGCAGTAAGTGTTAGTACTTCTAAGTTAATATGTTTCAAGTGAACTCGCAAGGCGAGTCGATCAAGTAGAGAGAAGCAAGTACTCATATCAAAGTAACTGAAAATTGCATTTGATTAAATTAAAAAGAAGTACGTTGTCCGATATATGTTCATATTCGTTTGTAATATTTATACAGTACGTCAAAACTTCAACCCGTATTTGTACAACGAGACGTACCAGTACGAGTACACAGACGACAGACACGGCCCCGCGGACGTGCGCCACCTGCCCGGCCAGCCCAACCAGCTCGATCAGCCTGACTGGTGGTACGATCCGCAGAAGGTCTACACTAGGCTATTTAACTTTGTAAGTACTACATTAAATATTTAAAAAAAAACTCTGAATGTCCACCGTCAAGACTTTGAATTATAGTTTCAGTGCTTGTTACCTAGCACCTCTAACGTCACATTTGTCAAAGTAAATAGAGATAAATAGGGATGGTAACTAAGAAACCAAATTCCAGATATGATTATTTTTTTCAAATCGGGCCAATAGTTTCAGAGCCTATTCAATGCAAACAAACAATCAAATCGTTCCTCTTTATAATATTATATTACACACAACATTTGATTTGTATTATTGTCATTGTCAGGATGAAAAGTTCCCGTTCTGGATGCCGAAGCCGGACCCCGTGCAGCTGGCGGTGCAGGGCGCAGACAACCCCAACTACAACACGTACTCCACCTCCTCCTATGGGAACTATTACAACGACCCCTACAATATGCGCTTGCCGTATCTCAGATTTGTAAGTAATCTATGTGATGAACCGTTATGCTGGGTTTCTGAAAACTAAAACTTAAATTGAATTAATGTAATATCCTATTAATATTTATTTAATATAATTTGAGGTGTTGGAATGTCCCTTTAGCAACCGGTGTTGTTTATTACATTCGAGATCTCAACATTGGTGTCAAAGAAAAGTTAAGGAAAAATCTATCTTTTTTGTAAAGAGATTTTTCAATATTTACTGTTTTTTTTTTCAATTTTCATGTTGTCTATTTTATTTCAACAGTTCAACGGCACATATGACTTCAAATACCCAATGTCGGAGTTAGCCCAGTTGGTGCCCACATTAGACGGTGTCGAGGTCATCATCACAGCTTCAGTGGGGGATCCCTTCCTCGATGACGTCATAGAAGGCTATAGTATCGCCAGGATATTTAACTCTTCCTTAGCAGTTACTTTCCTAGGAGGTTCCCTGCAAGTGTTCAAACCTGCTATGCCTTTTGATGTTTATGTAAGTTTTTAGCGATGTATTACCTTATTTATGTTAAGAACTAAACCAATGGCAATACAATAGCAGTAGCAATTCTATGAGTATAAGAGAGTCATGTAATGCATCATAAAGTTTCTAAAATTGCTAATAGTTGATAATGTTTTCTTTTTTTTATTATTAACGCTTATTTAAGAAAGATAAGATCATATATGGTATTTGTCACCAGATGGTGGTGTCGTACCACGACGGGTCTCCGCTGCCGCAGTGGCAGGCGGCGGGCGTGTCGCTGCTGGTGAACGTGCAGGTGGAGGGACGCGGCGGCGGTATAGAACCGCAGCGGCCCACGCTCGCGCCCGGACACGACGCCGTATGGCATCTGCGCCTGGATCTATACAAACTACTCAGTAAGAATGACTAACCTACTTTTTAGATTTAATTTTGTACTAGACTTTTTACAAGTAGTTTTATACGTAGTCTTATTTTTTTGGTTAAAAATAATATGAAATTAAAAACTAAAAATGTTATACGTAAAAAAAGATAGATCAGTTTTGAGTATTTTTTTTTCTCCTTAGATGAGGCATATGGGGTTTTGTATAGGCAGCATTTCTTATCACTTTTAATGCAATTTAATCATAGTTTTTATTTGTTTCCAGAGCTCGAAAACGACCCAAACTACCGGGAGGTACTAGCTGGTATAACCGGCGTGCGGCTCAGCGCGCAGCTCGGGGACGCAGTGGGCGGACGCGCGGCAGCTGAGGTGCACTTCGTGCCTCACTACAGCCCCAACAACCACCATCTGAGAGTCTCTACCAGTACCACTGATGCTAGAGTGTGTTTCACGTTTTGTTCCTAGTTTATTTAACGACAATAGTCTAATGTTTAAGAGCACGGGCGATTCATTACGGATTCTAATCTCACCATTCGACTATTTTCATGGAATAATTAAAAGAAATAATTCAAATTTTTAATGTCTCTTGCATCAACGGTGTAGCCGTTCAACAGTTTAACTAACCGAAAAATATTAATACAAAATATGTTACAGGTGGGCGAGTACATAATATTCCACGTGCAGAGCAACTTCTTCATGGAGTCGTTCAGTTATGTCGTCATGTCCAAAGGCATTATTCTGACAAGTGGACAAGAAATTATGCAGGTATATTACTTCATAAAAATAGTTATGTACTCAAGATGTACATTTTTAAAATATGGAGACTTATTTATTGTTTTAGTGTTTTATTCAGAAGTTTCGGTAATGGAGACTCATGGTTATAATATTGTGTTACTTACAGGAAGGTGTGCGTACGTTCGCAGTGGTGCTGTCGGCGGAGATGGCGCCGGTGGCCACACTGCTGGTGTGGGCTGCGCAGCGTCGCGGCCATCTGCTGGCTGACTCGCTCACCTTTCCTGTCAACGGCATCTCCAGGAATAACGTGAGATCATATATTGCTTTATTTAAGTGTTCAAGTATATAGTAGGATTTTAATAGTTCATTTCTATATGGTTTTTGTGTTATATGCAGTTCACGGTGTTCATCAATAACCGCAAGCACCGTACGGGCGAACGCGTGGAGGTGGCGATCTACGGCGAGCCCGGCGCGTACGTCGGCCTCTCCGGCATTGACGACGCCTTCTACACAATGCAGGCTGGCAACGAGCTCACATACGCTAAGGTTCAAAAAATATTCTGACAATACACATAATAGTGTAATGGCTAGCATGCAGTTTACTTTTCTAGTAACATTTCGTAGTTTTTTTTTTATAAAAAGTCGTGTTGGACACAATGTTATAACATTTGTAACATTAACAGGTGATATCAAAGATGTCTCATTTTGACGAGTCGAGCAATGGCACGTTTGCATACACGTTCCGCTCGCACTTCGGCGACCCAGACCACCTCGTGTACTTCCCCTCCTCCAGCTTCGGCATTGACGCCAACAGGACCTTCGAGTAAGTTATAATCTTTACATTATATTTTTCTAAATATAATATAAGAAATGTGACGACAATTACGTTCAATTTATACAATTCGAACAAATATTTTATAATGATGCAACCATCGATGATAACCAAATGTTAATACAGATTTTAAGAAGGATTGTTCGTTTTGCAGATATGCAGGTCTGGTGGTGTTCAGTGACGTGCCGGTGACGCGGCGGCACAGCGTGTGCAATGCCTCGCTGGGTCTGGCAGAGTGCTTGGACGGCGGCTGCTATCCGCGAGAGAAGCACTGCGATGGCATGCCCGACTGCGCCGACCGCACCGACGAGGCCAGCTGTACGTAACACTAGTTGCACATTAAAATTTATTTTTTCTTGCTAGGATCACTCGGTCTAGTTTATTTCTTAACGAATCATGCCACGATATTTATTAACTGATAGAATACATTATTTGCAGGATTGAATATATTCATTTAAATCTCACCACTTGCCTCAACAACTTTTACGTCATTAATCAGATTCCGTCATATTAACTTTTGATGTTTTAATTGTAGGCGAGCACGACGATAGCTTCTCGCTGAGCCACTTCCGCAAGTTCCGGTTCAACCGCGTGCAGCGTCAGTACGAGAACGCGTGGCTGTGGCGTGACGTGAACATCGGCCCGCACGGCCGCTACGTGTTCACCGCGGACGTGCCGCGCACACCCGCACGATGGACCATCTCCGCCTTCAGTATGTCTGACGTGCTAGGATTTGGCGTACTCAATACGCCTGTCAGGGTGAGATTATCAAATTATATATAACATAACACTTAACTAGCAAATGTATTTTTCTCGTAGAAAAAACCCTTTGTACTAATTTTACGACTCTTTGAAGACATTGCAACTACTTTTTGAACTTTAAGTTTTGACTGAATTTCAACATATCTATACATCATATATTATTGTTTCCGTAGTACGACGGTGTGCTGCCGTTCTTCATCCAAGTAGAGGGCCCCGACCGGTGTAAGCAGGGCGAACAGCTTGGTCTGCGCGTTGTTGTTTTTAACTACCAGCCGCAAGCCATTGAGGCGGTTGTCGTACTAGAAGCCTCGCCCGACTACAAGTTCGTACACGTCGAGGAAAATGGCATTGTGAGTATTGTTTCTACATACGAGTATTTCTTTTTTCAGGAATTTTGATTTTAATTTCTTAGTTTTGACTTTCAATGTATTAAGCTGAATGAATATTCAGTTTATATAATGTTGAATCTGAAAACATCATTTGATCATGGTTTCGTAGTCAATGTCAAGAGACCATTGTTTATGAAACAATATATAAATATGCGATTTGTATTGTTAGGTGCGTTCATACAACCCGCGCACCTCGTTCGGCGAGCACCAGTTCTTCGTGTATGTGAGCGCGGGCGATGCTGCCACTGTACACGTGCCCGTGGTGGCCGCGCGCCTCGGCCGCGTGCGTGTGAATCTACACGCCGCCACGCTGCAGGGCCAGCACCACTACACCAAGGAGATACTTGTTGAGGTACAACGCCATCTATATTCTCTGTTACATGACTGCGAATATTTTTGGGTATTTTTTCACATATTTTAATTTTTATTGTGAAGGATAAAGTAAATATGTAGTAAACAAAAACGCATTTAATTATTTATATTTTATTTATGTATATAATCATAATCGTGCATAAAAATAATGTTTATACTTTGTATGTTCGCAGGCGGACGGCATACCCCAGTATCGTCACCAATCGGTGTTGCTCGACTTGTCTAACCGTGCCTACGTGTTCCAATACATGCACGTCAACGTGACGGAGACACCCATCATACCGTACGAGGTGGACCGCTACTACGTGTTCGGATCGAATATCGCGCGAGTTACTGTCGTAGGGGATGTTGTTGGTCCTCTCTTCCCGACCATGCCTGTTAATGCTACCAGTTTACTTGATTTACCAATGGTAATTGCATATTTCATTTAATTTGATTGTTTCATACTTACTGTGTATTTGTAATAGCATTTTATTAAAACATAATTTATTTAATAATTTATTCAGATACTGAAAAAGCCTTATACAATAAGAAAATAAACTGATAATTAGTTACAAAATGGCTTAAATAACTAGGTTTAGTCTAAATATAATGGTGGCAGTAGGACCTTACTTTATTTACTTAATCTATTTAGAATTATTATAAAATGCTTATTCGAGTGCTTAACATTGCGCATTGTGTGTACAGGACTCCGGCGAACAGAACATGTTCAGTTTCGCGGCGAACATGTACCTGACGCTGTACATGCGATTGACCAACCAGCGCAACCGCACGCTGGAGCGCGACGCATTCGCCCACATGAACGTCCTCTACCAGCGACAGCTCTCCTTCATGAAGCCTGATGGCTCCTTCAGTTTGTTCCGCAGCGACTGGTCAGTATTATACAACTGTTTGCAGTTTCGAAACATGAATACGAAACATGTTGCTAACCTATTTACCATTGATTTCTAAGACTAAAATCGTACTAATCGTGCAAATGCGAATGTTTAGAAGGATGGATGTTAGTTTGAAAGTATCTCCAGACCTGCCGAATGGATCTCGATGAACTTTGGCATAATATGGAACATATTCTTTTTATTAACTCCGGCCAGACGAAGTCACGGGCGACAGCTACACTCTCCATAAAACATGTCATCGCCCCTAATAAAATAGAGATAACAAAATATTTGGAACGGGGATTTATGTTTCAGAAACCAATGATAAATCGTTAAGTTAGTGTTGTCGCGTTTAATTTTATTTTTGTCTTGTTTTAGGAATCAATCCGCTTCGAGTGTGTGGCTGACATCATTCTGCGCTAAGATATTCCAAGAGGCGTCATTCAATGAATGGGAAAACTATATCTACATTGACCCTGATGTGAGTTGTATGCTGTTCAAATTCTTATGCTTTTAATCAGAAATGATTTACAAAATCACTCAACAACTCATATTCGTAAATTGGGCACTAAGGGAGATTTAACAGAGTGTGGGGATATAATAAAATAATGGGCCTATAGATTCAATATTCACTTCTCAGTGATTTCATTTCGAGTTTTGAACCTTTATTATTTCTCTTCTAATGCTCTATGTGTTTTTATGTATGCAGGTGATATCAATGGCGGTATCTTGGCTGCTGGAGCACCAGACTCCCGAAGGTGCATTCTACGAGGTGACGTGGTCTCCGGACCGCAACGCCAACGCCACTATCGCAGTGCCCGCCAACTCTGGACTCTTCCGAGGAGCCGCCAACATCGGCGTCGAGGTAACTAACTTATACTTGCTTTGGTCTCCAATACAATTTTAATATCACAATATCTTACAATAAAATAATGAATTAAAAAAAATCAAAGTTTGTATAGATGTTTGTTGCTATGCAAATTCTCAATGGATGAACAGATGTGAATGAAAGTCATCGCTCTCATCTTTCGCCTTTGTATATTAAAATCTCTTTTTGTTTGTTATAAGGTGAACGATTCAATAATACTGCAGCGGAATGTGACTCTCACAGCACAAGTCGTTATCACACTGGAAACTGTGAAGAACTTAAAGGATATCGGATTTAAAGAGGTAAAGTCTCATCATAGTTTGAGGTCATATTGATCCACATATTTTCCTTTTTTTATAGCATAAAGTAAAAATATTAATATAATGCAGGCTCTGAGCGCGCGCGTGGCACAAGCTCAACGCAACGGCATCACTTGGCTGGAGAAGAATCTCAAGCTGCTGGAGGAGTACGGGTCGCCGTACGCACTCGCGCTCGTCGCCTACGCGCTCACAGTCAGCAAGGCGCCCAGCTCCGAGCACGCCTATAGACTGCTTAAACGACGCCAACGCTCAGAAGGTACACATACAAACAATATCCTAGTTTCCTTGCACATTCTCTTTAAAAAAAACAGAATTAATAATTTGTTTTATATTGGAGTTTTTTGGGTGAAAATCCATGGTAAATACATCGTAAATGTTGATTTAGTAATTTGATAGAATCATTTAAAATCGTTTGTTATCGTATCGAAATTCTTAGATAAAAAAATTATTTACTGCACTACTACTACTCTATGATAGTATTGGCTTTTCAAATCATAAGATTTTTTTTAATCTGTAATGTATTCTTGCAGGTGGTCTAGTGTACTGGGGTAAAGAGCCGGTGCCGCAGCCGCCTTTCAAGATGGAGAACCAGAAACCGTTCCTGTTGCCGCGATTACCGTACAAATATGACTCCAACAACATCGCCGCCACCGCGTACGCGCTGCTCGCCTGCATGGACCACCAGGACAACAACGAGCCTATTGTCATGTGGCTCAACGCGCAGCGCCTCAAGGACGGCGGCTGGGCATCCACTCAGGTACATTGCGTGAAATAGGTTAACTATCTTTTGTCACCAAGTATTTAGCAGCTTTAGAGTTTCATTATTAATCTACCAGAATATTGATTTGTGAATCATTTTGTGGTTAAATGTCATGCCTAATATCTTATAAGTCTAATATTTTTCTCAGGATACGTACATAGCGCTGCGCGCGCTGATCGAGTACACGAACCGCAAGCGGCTGCGTGACGTGAGCGCGCTCAGTGTGTCCGTGGAGGCGGTGGCGCTGCGTGGCGCCGCGCGCACACTCACACTCTCCAACGACCACCTCGCACACATGCACACCATACAGGTATGTAGTGCTTCTGTATTTACCCTTGCAGCGCCATCTAGTGTCAAATGGCCATCATTACTGTTAAGTCACTTCCAATAAATGTAACATATTTCTACATACATGTCAAGTCACGTCAGTTAAAAGAGCCATCAAAATTGGTTCTAAAGAGTAATAGACTTAAAATTCTCTGGTGTGTATGTATGTATGTGTTTGTATGTGATGTAGATCCCGGAGGCGTGGGGCACGGTGAAGGTGACAGCGCGTGGCGCGGGGTACGCGCTGCTGCAGCTCTCGGTGCAGTACAACGTGGACGTGGCGCGCTTCCAGACTCCGCCGCCCGCGCCCGCATTCTCGCTGCTCACGCAGGCGCGCTTCTATGGACGGAATCAGTCGCATGTCGACTATCGCACCTGCGCCAGGTACGGTCAGACCAATACTAGTAAACTGTTTAAAAATATCATTCAAATGTAAAAGCACGTAGCTGATGGCCAACCTTCCTACTATAAACAGAATTTTCGTAAAAAGTGTTTCACTTATACAAAAAACAGATAACAATAAGTTTTGTACCTCAGATGGACTCGATTATCTGTATTAAACTATTTATGGCAATAGCTGGACGCTGCTAGAGGAGTCGCCACGTTCAGGAATGGCGGTGCTGGAGGTGGGCATCCCCACGGGCTACCTGGTGCAGCAGCAGCGCCTCGATGCCTACGTACTGTCGCGTCGTGTTCAAACGCTTCAGAGAGCCAAGTACCAACCTGACAAAATACTCTTCTACTTTGACTATGTAAGTATACAAATATCTTACTAAAATTATAAATGCGAATTATGAAAGGATGTTTATTTGAATGTATTTCCAGATCGGGTAAACAATCACAATGGATTTTGTTTTTATATAAAACTAGCGGACCCGACAGACGTTGTCCTGTCTACACGTCTTTAATTTGAATAAATTAATATGAAGTTAATATTTGATGAAAATTGTGAATCTAAACCATTCCCATCCCCTTGAACACACACAAAAAATTTCATCAAAATCGCTCCAGTCGTTTGAGAGAAGTTTAGTGACATACACACTCACAGAAGAATTATATATATAAAGATTATTAATTTAGTGCGGGTTAAATCTATATATTGTTATATCTGTACTCTACTACTATGTCATATTTTATCCCTAGATTTAAAGTAATAATAATATTAATAGTGATATTTTATCTTAGTTGGACCACGAGCAGACTTGTGTGAATGTGACGGTGGAGCGCTGGTTCCCCGTGGCCAACATGTCGCGACATCTGCCTATACGCGTCTATGACTTCTACGCACCCGGTTAGTAACAAAACAAAGTTATATTAATTCGAAATTGTTTCACTCAAGTGTAGTTGAGTTTATACTGTATAAAAACATGTCAAACTGTCATCACTATCATCTATTTTGAAAAAACAAGTATAACAGGTTTTACACATGTTTCTGCAGTCAACAAACAGTTGGTTCACTTAAGACATGGATGTGTCACTAACACATTTTTGTGTTGTCTATTTAAAGTAAAATCATAATTCATGCCCAAAAAAAGGAACATACGCATTTGCTAATCAATAAAAACATGATATCTCTCACACAGAACGATTTAACGAGACAATATTCGATGCGCTACCAACTTACCTGCTGAATATCTGCGAGGTCTGCGGCTCCTCGCAGTGTCCATACTGCTCCGTGTACAACGCCGCCGTGCGCCCCGCAGCTATAGGCGTCCTGCTCACACTCGCCGCCCTCCTCGCAAGCCATGGATATCGCGCTCTCGCTCACACATAACACTGCTACCAACATCATGTAAGTTTATGACAATAACTCTGGTAGTATATACAGTACTGGAAATGTAAATGAATCTCAAATTATAAAACTAAATAAAAATTAAAATGTATCGTTGAATTGATATAGGATAAGGAAAGCAAAGCCACAAATCTTTTTATTGAGTATACGAATAATGTTTCGACAGGTATATTTTTCTCTATCACACTAGTAGATGTTGCGTATTGCTGTCTCACTCACTCTATAACTTATGCTGCGTTCACTTTTATCTTAAGATTTGTGGCTCATACTACGTGTATTTCGTCATTGCAATTTTAATATATAAACTGCTTTTATTTACATATCAATTCTTATATATTATACAAATACTTCACTTAAGTGTCAATTATATGTTTTGTATTGTTTTTACAATAATTGTGTCAATTATATTGACTGGCAGCTGACATTGAGCTTTATATAAAAAAATTGGAATAATTAAGATAAAATCTTACAGGACTAACCGTGGTTTTCTGAGACCAAAATCGCCGATTAAAACATTGTTTTATCTTTGTTCTGTGAAAGATAATGACATAGATGACGAAAGGTTTTGGTCTCAGAAACCAACAATAAATAATAAAAAAATAATTTTTAATATATTATATGTATTTTTACATAAAGTGTTCATTTAATTTCAGTGACTAATTATAAGTAAAAATTGGTTTTAAGATGACAAAAGATTTTTTACGTTTTATATGTTTTTTATACCTTTCTAATTCTTTTTTTGTGAATATTTCTAAAATTTAGATTTAAATAATAACCCACCCAGTTACAAAATATACAAAGAATATGTATATAAAATGAGTTATCACAAAAATATTTATAACTAATTGTAATATATTTTACTAAGGGAAATTCTGTATAAAAAAAAACAATGACAAACCAAGAGAAATGTCCTGCCAACCCCTTTACGATAGTAGTCTTGAAAGACATTTGTAATTATAAAAGACTAGCATTTATTTTAAAACCTTTAGACATATGTCAGATAGATTATTTCCATTTTTTTGCATATTTATATTTACAATACAAAAGATCTGTATTTTCATTTATTATTTTTCTAATTCTATTAAAACAGATTTTGTTTTGGTGCTTATGCATTTCAAGTATGACTTATAAATATATAATTCATGATATAATTATGTAACATATCAAAATTTTACATACATGTATGGATGTTGACTTCCATTTATCAAACAATAAGCTGTGTAGCATAGAATGCGTGCTTGCCTTAATGTGACTAAAGGTACGCGTCCACAGACCCGCGCCGGACGCACCGGACGCACCGTACGTACGGCCCGCAACAGATTTTAGTTTGCTTTGTATTTTACAAAGCGGAGCGTCCATAATACGCGCCGATCGCATCGACGGCATCTTTCGCCAAGCAATCTGTTGCGGGTCGTGTGTGCGGTGTGTGCGATGGTGCTTCCGGTGCGGGTCAGTGGACGCGTACCCCAAACGAAGGCAAATTATGTAAATAGTTTTAAGTACATAGTGTTACGAGTACTAGGATCAAAAACATCCGATTAGTGATTCGCTAGTAGAGGAATAAAAAGAAAAAAAACTTGTGTTAAAGTATTCAAATATCTTGGCGGATCGGAACTTTTCACCTGAAGTGATGCGAAGATAAGCTATACCTTGTGCCGCCATTATAGATTGGAGTAGACTATAAAAGTACTAAAGTTTGACAGACATTTTTGAATGTTCTACAAGCGATATTGCTATTTGGGTATGGATTTACGTGAAATTTGTATTGGCATATTTGTGTCTGTCTCTGAAGAGAATGTCAAGATAATGTTTGCCAATACAAGTGTCATTTGTAAAGATCCAGAGTTTGTCTATAAAAGTAGTAATCTCTAACTATTGGTTTCTAAGACCTAAAATCTCAGTATAAAACATATCGTCATCCCTATCATTATCTTTGACAAAACAGAGACAACAATATGTTTTAAATGGAGATTTCGGTCTCGGAAACTTATGGTAAATATTGCTTCACAATAGTATTTTGTATATTGTAACTATTCACAAACTAGTTCTGTCCGGTTTCACTTGTCTGCATGACATATTGTTTTTTCTTTTGATTTAAAATTTTACTGTTAATTTTCTCAGGATTGTCTTCTTTTTTAACATAAGCATGATGTTTACATAGAAAAAAATCACTATGTGCTTGAAAGTGAAGTGGCTTTAATGGTATATTTTTAAACAATATATTTAAAAAGGGGACAAATGTTTTATAACTAAATTGGCAATATATTTGATGCAATCTATCAATATATTCATTTATTCAAATATTACTTAGTGTTTATGTTAGGTGATATTCATTGTAAGTAGAGTAACAATATTTTTAAAGAATTATACTCTGGTCGACACAATGTTTATGGAAAGCATCATTTGAACTGATTCAAGGTACAAAATTTGAAAATTACCCGTCCACAAATTATATTATAAAGCAGGCTATTTATAAAATGTATGTGTGAATCTCATTAATGTATTAAGCGCGTTACTTAATAATACTTTAATTTCCGTCCAAAATTTACCAATGTCTGATTTTCTTTTACTTTTATATTTGTGTGTAATAAGTTAGGTAGAATGTGAGTGTGTAATAGTGGAGTAAAATCTCATTATTGACTCTTCATAGATTTATTTCTAAATAAAAAGATTTGAAAATGTTGCCCTGTTTTATTGGTGTAGCTGTCGTACATCCTTTTAATATTATTATATTATATTATATGGAGGCAAACAATTAAGGGACCAACCGCAATTGCATTGCCTACCTGTAACTGATGGAGGAAGAGACTGAAGACAATATTTTCCCTTCTCATGTCTCTTTCTCCATCAAATCCTTTTTTTCATCCCATATAAGCTAGGGAAGGGAAAGAAGACGAAATTAGGCCTCTCCCACACACACAAAACATGAAATTGCTTTCAATTCTGCAGTTATCTGTGTTCATAGTACTGTACCAGGTGAGACAGCCCATTTGTGCAACATATGTTGCAACCATCTATCACTATGTACAGCAGAATTCAAATTGGCATTTCAATTAGACTGACTTAAAAGAGATAGTACCAAGTAATAAGTTGAGGTTCTGTATTTAGTTAGGATGGAGAAGGATTTTGTAGTATCATATTGAAATCAGAATTGTCTTTTTTCTATGTACTAAATAGATAATGCATATATAACTCACTAGCTTGTTGGTTGGTGATGACTTACTGGCAAGTAAAAGAAACTCCAGAATTGACTTAGTACTTGTAAAGTGGAATGAAATGGAAGATTTTAACTATTTAAATGAAAATCACACAAACTTTAATAATAATTTAATGTTTAAAATGTCTAGGAAACAAAAAACTAATATAACCTATAATGCAATTACAACCACTTCATTGTCGCTTCTTAATTTGCTTAGCTTTGGAGGCTTTGGTAGTAGTGCCCCCACCGAACAGATTTGTAAATACTTCTGACATTTCAGGCATTTCTGACATCTTAGCCAGATTTGTGATCTGTTTTAAATCTTCCTTAGTTTCAGGATCATTCATCATTTTTGGCAACACCATGATGAGAAGGAGTGGTAATATCATCATAATCACCATAGGATTGAATAAAAAGTCGGTCATTCTCCACTGTTCGCGTATTTGGAAATATCTGAACCTAGACAAGGCCTTCATTCTAAGTGGATAGGGTACTTGGATTACTTGCGATGTCTGAATATAATTCACTCTCCTTGCACGATATTTTCCTTTAGAGTTTATTTCCACACGCACCGGATCGTACATGTAGTCCGGATTAACAACTTCTACCACGTACGATCCAGTAGGAACGTTGTGGATTGCGAACGATCCATCTTCTTTGATGAAACCGATGTATTCCCCACCGTTCACATGAATCCGTGTTTGTATTTGCCAATTGCTTTGTTCCTGTTCTTCAGGTGGGACGACGCGACCCTCAATAACATATCTTCCGCTGCCAATATCTTCTTCAACAGAATTGATTGCATTTGATACATTAGCAAATATACAAACGATGACCAGAATACTTGTGAAAGATATTGGCTTCATATTATTGATATTTTATTTTAGCGACCGATTAAAAATTACTCAGAAAAAAACTAATAACTTGTATATACCACGAACTAATTTTACATTATCATTATCATTACGATATTCTCAATCACAAGCTTTGGATTTCTTCTTTTAATCATTAATGACTTTGACATTCAATGAAAATGACACCCAGATTTAAGACGTCAAACTATTTTTACGTTGACAAGTTGACAACGTTTTAGATCGAAAATTGCCATATAGCGACCGATATTTTATATACTCTGACCGATACATAAAAAGTAATTATTTATTGTGATGCGATATTATTGCTCGGTAAGAAAGCAGAACGGGTTATAAAAGAATAACAATGACTTCGTCCTTATAACGAGGGCAACGGCAGTCGGCTATTAAAAACTTAAGACATTTATAAAAAGTTAGGAAGATTAGTTTCGATATATATATTCGATATAAAAAAAAATCGAATCTGAACAAAGCAGTGTATGCTTTGTTCAGATTCGATTTTTTTTTTCGTGGACTCAAATATAAGCAGATAGAGTAAAAGAAAAGTAAACATGGTTATTATGTCATTTATGTATTTCAAATAGTTGTATTTCTAGCACTTTTATAGAGGAGAACAATTTGTCTTGGCCCATATTTACCGTATACAGTATACATTGTGTGTACATCCATAACCCATCTAGCAGAGCTCACATCGGGGCGCAACGGAAAGGTTAATGATATCGGCAGTTGTTTTGTTTTCTGTTTATAGCTAATAATACTCCGATGGCGATACATTCATACAGCGGCAGCCAAAACAGTCTCACATTGTCGATAGTCACCGCTGCTGACAATTGAACCCCTACAATTATTTTCACCTTACAATTTTTGTAATCAAAATGCTTCGCTTTCTAACAATATTTTTGATAACTTCGGTAAATGTTAACTGCATTTACATTGTTAATCCCGGACCTAAGTATCCACCGACCAAGGGAGAAGTTTGGCCGAAGCCTCAGAACGAAATTACGGAACTTACTTACTACACTTTTGATCCGTTGAATTTTAAAGTTAAAGTAAGTGTTTATTTATTTAAATAGTTAAACTGTTAATTATTGTAGTTTTATTTACAATATTAAGAAGAATATAATATTTATAATGTTTATGAATATAATTACAAATTCCCTAAATTTTTCCTAATAACTTAGGTGACAAATAACACTTGCGATATACTTATTTCGGCAATCGAAAGATACTCGTACATCGTGAAGAGCAGAAAACCGCTGCAAGATCAGAGACCGGTCTCGGTCACAGAGCGACGACAACACGCGCGACAGGCCCAGACCTTGCAGCTTGGCGTCTTACAAGAGCTACAAGTGCAACTGACAGAGCCATGCGAAGAATATCCATATTTAGAAATGGACGAAAAATGTAAGCTTAATGTACACGTAAAATGTCAAATCTGCTGCAATATAATCTACAATATCTGTAAACGTACATTAGCCAAATTGTTGCTGAAACATCACGTGACCCAATAGGTTCATCCGTTCCGGTAATTACCCGTAACAAACGCAGATAGACAGACAAAATTAAAAAAAATATTTTTCAGTTTCAGCAACGTACAAACATCAAGATTGAGTCAACTGACCTTGACCATTGTCAAATCACAAATAATTGATCTCCTTCCAGACAGACTAAATGTGCTAGCAGTGTCAGTGCTGACGAGTGCCTCCGTATGGGGTATCCTCCGCGGTCTTGAGACATTCGCACAAAAGTTCTACATCTCCCATGATATGAATGTGAGAAAAAACCGGTATTTTTTTAATTTGTCTGACCTAGGGACATCACTTGAACTTTAGTGACTAGTGATGGTTGTGTGAAACGTAAAGAACGGTAAAAATATCCAATCGCTTTTAAAAACTTAAACGATATTATTAAATTATATTTTAAAGAAAATTAAAACATTTCAATGTGAGTTCGACGGCATTGGCTCAATGTAAAAGAAAAAAAATGGATATTAGTCTTTGTCTACTTATTTAACTTACGGGTTTTCTGATTCTATCTATATTACGGGCCAGGAGCTGAGGATAAACACGTCTGTAGTGGTGGACTTTCCGGAGTACGCGCACCGCGGGCTACTGCTAGACACGGGGCGGCACTACATCTCGGTGCCCAATATTCTACTCACGCTTGATGCGATGACCATCAACAAGATGAACGTCTTCCACTGGCACATCGTCGATGATCAGAGCTTCCCATACCAGAGTGAAAAGTTCCCCGACCTTAGGTTAGTCTATGAGCATTCTGAATTTATGCTTGGGTAATTTGTGATGAGTTTTGTCCACAATATGCGGTACTCTGCTTTAAAAACGCGAGTATTTAATCAGTGTAAGATGATAAATTGGCTGGATCTCTTTATCTGTGTTTAAGTTAATGCGAATTTTGCTTTTATTTTCACTTTAGTCATTAAAGGTATTGAAAATTATAAGCAATAAGGTGATTGTTAATGGATGGGAAATTCCATTCTTTCTAATGAACGTGTAAAGTATTTACATATTTTCTTATCAAAAATTAAACTCGCTTCATTTCATTCATTATACACACTTAAACCTTTTTTTCTGAAATTTTTTGTTTATTTATTTCACAAAAACTTTAAAATATAAATGTATTAAGTTCGAGGCTTTTAATCTTCTACGACAGCTTATATGGTGCATATCATGCCTCCATGGTGTACACGAAAAACGACATTGCACGGATTGTGGAGTACGCTCGACTGCGCGGCATTAGGGTCCTGCCAGAGTTTGATGTCCCTGGTAATTATATGTTATTTCTATAAACTTTCGTCGAAGATAAATTACAATAGTACTTAATTCGATAATTACGAAAAAAAAATTCTAACAGGTCATACTCGGTCATGGGGAAACGCGTATCCCAACATCTTAACGTCATGTTACCACGAGAATGAGGTTGTTGGACTGGGCCCCATGAATCCCATCCGTAACATCACCTACAAAATGATTCGTGACCTCTTTCATGAAGTGCAGGCCTGGTTCCCCGACAAGCATCTGCACATCGGCGGGGACGAAGTCCGGAAGCTCTGCTGGTAAACTAATTAATGAGATATTAGTAATGTGAGGTGCCTAATGATCTGGTGCGTCAGTACTGATGTTTTAATATCTACAGGCGGTCAAACCCAGAGATACGCGAGTACATGCAGGAGAACGGGTTGAAGGTGGAGGAGCTGCACGCTCTATTTATGCAGAACACCATACCGCTGCTCGCGGATGGATCCAAGATTGTCGTCTGGCAAGTAAATATCGAAGACTAGTGCTATAACGTAGGGCCATGAGAAATCGAACACACGACTAATGGCTCGTTGGTCACTAAAATGTTGATGCGCTCCTTACTGTTGACCAAATAGTTAGTTTATTCAAAGATTCAGTAAAATCACATTTAATTTTCAATATTTTTATTAGTAAAAAATAACAACGAAGTAATAAAATAGAGTAAATAAAAAATTAGCGTCACAAATGTAATTTGACATAAAATTTGCTCTTTGTCTCACTGTTTTTTGACGCTGACTAGCCACTATTTTTTGCTTTGAAGAGGCATTCACAGTTTTATTAAGCCTGAGGTGGGCGGGTGATGTTAACTAACGTAATTAAAAATATGTTTTCTATATTTAAGGACGTGTTTGATGAGAATGTACCATTGACAAGTGACACACTCATTCAAGTTTGGAAGGATGAGTGGATCCATGAAATGGTTAAGGTAATGTTATTAAGAATTACGAACTCCTATCGACTTTGCTTTTATCTTACAACATGAATTAAAAACAAACTATATATTATATTTTATTGCTGTTGATCCATAGGTCCTGAAGACGGGTCACCGTGTGCTCTTTTCGTCATCATGGTACCTAAACTACCTGCAGGACGAGTGGCCGATGTTGTACATGGCGGACCCGCGGCGTATGGTGCGCGACGAAACCGACAACAACACCTTGCCCGCCGGCGTGATCGGTGGCGAGGCCTGCATGTGGGGAGAGAAGGTCGATGACAGGAACGTTATATCGAGGTGCCTAAACAAATATTATATGATGAAATAAATTAGTAAGTATTGAAAATAAGTAATACAAGTTTTATTATAATACTTAGGAATACGATTTCATAATTAACATATCATATAACATATCGATAAAAGTAACAAATCTCTTATTCACGGTAAAGTATAATTGCAAAGTATCATTCTCTTAGCGCTCATTAACAATATTACCGTGTGCGCAGTGTGTGGCCGCGCGCTAGTGCCGTGGCTGAGCGATTGTGGAGCGCGCCCACGTTGGGTGAGACGTCGCCGCGCCCCGAGGTTTACCAGCGCATAGAGGAACACGTGTGCCGCATGAATAGGAGGGGCATCGCTGCTCAACCGGCCAGCGGCCCGGGCTTTTGTCTCGTTTAATAAATAAATACATAAAAATCCTCTTTTGTGCTTTTCCTGTTTCTATATATCAATACTGTAGATGATAAATTTATTTATTTCCAAACATGTATTGCGTTTTTTACGGAAACATATAATATTTTAGTAAAATCACCCCATCTTGGGTATTAAATGAAATGGTTTGTCTTGTAGTACAGAGCCGGCACAACAAAATGGTCTCTGACATAATTTTTCTACCACATCATTATGGGTATCAATAATAGGATTCGGCTAATACAACAACGTGGTAACATCCAAATCCTAAAATAGATTACTAAAAGATCAAATGGACTTAGAAATATTATTATTAAAAAACTTTTTAGCATATTATAAGGTGGCAAACGAACGAGCGACAAAATGGCGAAGCGATCGCTGTCCATAAACATGTACTATTGCAGATGCCTTGCCTACCTTTAATACAATGGAAGAGTTTACGCACAGAAAGAGAGTAGTCCCTCTGCCTGTGCGTCCCTACCATCGCCTAATTTACTTCTTCGTCTTTTCTACTAACTCGTGGCTCAGCGCTGATATTCTCGGACATGTTGTCGGTATCTTAATTTATTAGTTGTTATGAATATATACGGCAAATATAAACAACCATCCAAATTCCAGCTCATTACTTAAAAACCGTAAACTATTGTACCGTTCTTATACCGTGTACTCCACTCTAAGCTACCCTAGGCTGCCATTAAGCATAGAGCATATAAAAGAAACAGTTCATTTAAAAGACGTCAAATTTTGACAGTGACAACCAGTGACAACGTTTTCGATGGATATTGCCATATTATAATATTACCAAATATTTCCTTTTCATTCGTCCGACTGATACATGAAAAGTAATTTAATATAATTTTTTGTGATGTGCTTCGTAATATTTTTACAACCGAAGGGGTAATAATAAAATCAACGACTAACTACTTGTATAGGTTTATTATGACTCGGTCGTAATAAGCAATAGCTTGGGGGACAATTAAAAACAACTATGAAAAATTGGTATATGAGGTTTTGTGGCTTTTGGCTATCGCTCACTAATTTGTTGACCTATTAAAATAAAGAATTGGATAGATATACACTGTCATCGTTATAAAGTTTACTGAGTTTTGTCTGTATTCTGCATTGTTCAGACGCGTAACCTTTCGTAGACTCAAATAAAACCTTGGCAGAAGAGTAACAAAGGAAAATTACCCATGGATATTATGTCATTTATGTATTTCAACTTGTCATATTTTTAGCAATTTTATAGAGAGATATACATTTATTTATATACACTAAAAATTTACTTTGGATTGTAAATAAAAAGACTATTTCGTTCGGCCCATATTTACCGTATACATTGTATTATGAAATCCATATAGCAGAGCTCGGATCGAGGCGTGGTGGAAAGGTTATCGATGTTATCAGCAGTTCTTTTGTTATTCTGTTCATAGCTCGCTAATGGTCCGCTAGCGATACATTCATACTGCGGCAGCCAACACAGACTCACTTGTATATCGATCGTCTCCGCTGCTGGCAATTGAACCCTTGTGTTTATGTTACAATTTTTGTAATCAAAATGTTTCGCTTTTTAACATTATTGTTGATAACTTCTATAAATGTTAACTCTATGTCTATTGTAAATCCCAGACCTAAGTATCCACCGACTAAGGGAGAGGTTTGGCCGAAACCTCAGAACGAAATTACGGAACTTACTTACTACACTTTTGATCCGTCGAATTTTAAAGTTAAAGTAAGTGTTTATTTATTTTAATAGTTCAACTGTTAATTAATGCAGTTTTATTTACAGGATTAACTTAGCGTGTTAAGATAATTAATTTTGTAGATATTATTTATATTGTTTATGAAAATAATTCCAAATTCCCTAATTTTTTCAGTTTATCGAAATTTTAATTGATAATTTAATAACTTAGGTGACAAATAACACATGCGATATACTTACTTCGGCAATCGAAAGATACTCGTACATCGTGGAGAGCAGAAAACCGCTGCAAGATCAGAGACCGGTCTCGGTCACAGAGCGACGACAACACGCGCGAGAAGCCCAGACCTTAGTGCTTGGCGTCTTGCAAGAGTTACAAGTGCAACTGACAGAACCATGCGAAAAATATCCGTATTTAGAAATGGACGAAAAATGTGAGTATTTATTAATAGTACTTTTGTTAAAATTTCTGCTACACTGCTATTAACAATAGGTAATTACAATATTTCTAAACGACTATTACTCAATGAGTCGGAATTAAAACTATTGGAGCTATGTCCTAGGTATAATTTCCAATTAATCTCAGTCTCGAGTCGCGCGCAATTTCTTGCCTCGCACAGTCGCGTTGTGGAACGGTCTGTCCTCGGCGGTATTCCCAAACCAGCGAAAGCGAGCATAGCATTTCCTTAAAGGCCGGCAGCGCATCTGCAGTTCCTCTGGTGTTGCAGATGTCCATGGGTGTCGTTGATCCTCTCGGTGTTCCCGCCGCTCGTTTGCACCCTTCTCTTATAAAAAAAACTCTCAGAAATTTATGTTAGTTTATATAGTTGTGTAGTAGTAATTCTCCCTTTAAACTACGGAGGAGAAGACGCACAGAGCTCTCTCTCTCTCTCTGAGGTTCCTAATATTTACCCTTCCTGTACGTCCAACGCCAATTCCAGACTATCTGTGTACCAAATTTTATTTAAATCATATCAGTAGATTTGGCGTGAAAGCGAGACAGACAGAGTTACTTTCGCATTTATAATATTAGTTATGATAGTAAGGAATATTGTCTTTTTAAGTAATGTTATTAAGGGGCAGTGTACCCTTCACACATAATATGATCTTGATAATATAAATGCGAATATTTGGATGGATAGATGTTTATTAAAAGGTATCTCGAGAACGGCTGCATGGATCTCGCTTAAATTTGTCATAGATGTTGAACATAGTTTGGAGAAACATATAGGATACTAATTAAGTTTTTTCAGTCCCGCGCGGACGTTACATTATGTGAAAATTAAAAAAAAAACGTTTTTCGTTATCAACAATACAAATACATAACATGTACATAATATGATTTTTTTCCTCAATATTATATACAAACACTACAGTTATATTATTATGTATTATCAAACGAATAACTTAACTACGAGTGAACGAAATAAACAAACTCTTAGCCTATGGGTCAACGAGCGGCGTTTTGCGATTGTTTATCTGTGTATCTCCTGTCCCGCTATTTGTCGTCTAGTCACTAAGGGATACCCCTTACTAAGCGCGACTTTAGTATAGATTTAGAATAAAAAATTATAACACTTATTATAAGCGGCATTGCGACAGTAGGCAGTGTTTTCTTTTACTTTTATTAAATAAAATAGTTTCAATAAAATAGTGTAATTCAATAAATATAGTTTTATATTTTAAGGTAAATTAAATCAATATAAATTAATTCAAAGTACAAGTGTACAATTTTGAAGGACAATAAACATCGTTATCAATAATACTTTAAACAATCAGTAATTAAGAATCGCCTAATGAACCGTTAGCGTATTGGCCTTTAGATGCAGTCGAGTGCCTTTTTAAGGTTATCGTATGTTTGAAATATTTTGCAAATAATCATATCTTACATAAATATACACGCCTATAATCCATAGATATAGACAACATCCATCTAACATTATTCTGGCTCGCTTTTTTTGGTTTCTATTCTAGACCAAACAAAACCCTACATCTACGTGTTTCATTTATCCTGTTTAGTGCTGTTCACTTGTCGACACATATTTTTTAGTTTTCGTACTCAAAGATTTAAAATGTAGTTCGTGAGAGTATTTTTAATGTCAATGAGTGCACAATGGGAGTAATTTTAATGTATAGCGCAAATGAATATAATATACATATTTTTAATACATTATAGGTATGTAATATGATCATGGGCATCACCAGAGACTCGAAAAATTCAATGTATGTGTGGTACTGGTACTGCACCGGTCCAGCGGGAGATTCATGCAGCAGCGAGATGATGCCGTTGACGCTACCACTGTTAAAATACAAATGATCTATCTCCTTCCAGACAGACTGAATGTGTCAGCAGTGTCAGTGCTGACAAGCGCCTCCGTGTGGGGCATCCTCCGCGGCCTCGAGACATTCGCACAAAAGTTCTACATCTCCCATGATATGAATGTGAGACAAAAACCGTTTTTTTTTTAATTTGTCTGTCTCTAACATCACTTGAACTTTAGTGACCAGTGGTGTTTTATAAAACGTAAATAACGGTGAAAATACCTGATAGGTTTTAAAAACTTAACAACATTATTGAATTTTACTTTTAAAGATATTTTAATAAATGGAATAACATTTTTATATGCATTGTAAAAATTGTTAATTCGTCTTTGCCTAAGAGACAGACTTAGCTTATTCTATCCTTGTTACGTGTCAGGAGCTGAGGATAAACACGTCTGTAGTGGTGGACTTTCCGGCGTACGCGCACCGCGGGCTACTGCTAGACACGGGTCGGCACTACATCTCGGTGCCCAACATTCTACTCACGCTTGATGCGATGACCATCAACAAGATGAACGTCTTCCACTGGCACATCGTCGATGATCAGAGCTTCCCATACCAGAGTGAAAAGTTCCCCGACCTTAGGTTAGTCACTATCCATTCTTAATATGTGCTTGGGTATTTAAAAACATATTTTAGGACTTAGTACTTAATCAGTGTTAGGTAATAAAATTTCTGGGTCCCTTTATCTGAGTTTAAGATCAATATTATCGATTTTTGTTTTTGCTTTAAACTCGTGAAGGGTGTTGAAAAATAAAACCAGTAATGCGATTATTAATGGATAAGAAATTCTATTCTTTCTTATGAACGTGCAAATTATATTTTCTTATCAAAAAAATTCAACTCGCTTAATTTTGCAAGCTCAACTATAATATAAAAAAAACTTAGTAATAGCCTACGCGTTCTCTTAGTCTATGCTCAACGTTTGTGCCAAATTTAAGCGAGATCCGTTAAGCCTTTCTGGAGATATCTTCTAATAAACATCCATCCATTAATCTATCCTTCCATACTTTCTTAATTATTATTTTATATTAGTAAGATAAACCGCTTTTGTTTTGTTTATCATATAAGTTTTTTCTTTTTAGTTTTCATTTTTGAAAAGATATAATCTATGCATTTATCTTGTAAATTAAACTAAGTTTGTAGTTAGTGATGTAAATATAATAAGTCCAAAGTTTACGTTCTTTTTATTACTGTGTACTGTTCTGTGACAGCTTATATGGCGCATATCACTCCTCCATGGTATACACGAAAGACGACATTGCGCGGATTGTGGAGTACGCTCGACTGCGCGGCATTAGGGTCCTGCCAGAGTTTGATGTCCCTGGTAATTATAATTTACTTAAATAAACTATCGTCGAAGATTAATACAGTACTTAATTCGAAAATGAACGAAAAAAATTATCGAACAGGTCATACGCGGTCATGGGGAAACGCGTACCCCAACATCCTAACCGCATGCTACCGCGGGAATGAGGTGGTGGGACTTGGCCCCATGAACCCCATCAGAAATATCACCTACAAAATGATTCGTGACCTCTTCCATGAGGTGCAGGCCTGGTTCCCCGACAAGTATATGCACATCGGCGGAGACGAGGTCGAGATGCTCTGCTGGTAAATTAACTTTAGACAATTAAAACTGCAGTGCAATATCATTTTTAGCTAATTTATTTTTATGTAAAAAAAACTAAAATTGAATCTTGCGTTCGATCGTTCCAAGTATAATATATTTAGAAAAGTATCGAAATTATCACTCTGTCAGAAGACCCTCCAATAACTAGTTTGGGTTTTATTCTAATTGGACTGACTACAGCCCTTAGTAATGTGAAGGTACTGATAATCCGGTGACTCTGCACTGATGTGTCAATGTCTACAGGCGGTCAAACCCAGAGATACGCGAGTACATGCAGGAGAACGGGTTGAAGGTGGAGGAGCTGCACGCTCTATTTATGCAGAACACCATACCGCTGCTCGCGGATGGATCCAAGATCGTCGTCTGGCAAGTGGGTATCAATGGAGACGAATGATATGACGTAGAGCCATGAGAAATCGAACACACGACCGGTAGCTTGTGGGTCTTAACTGAGGATGCGCTCTCAACTACCAACAAAATATTAGTTAATTTAAAGTTTTAGTTAAAAAATTATTTAATTTTGTATACTTTATGTATTAATGTTAAATTATTTTTTTAATAAAAGAATTAGTAATCCAATCACGTAAATAAAATATTCGATGCCTATGCATCAGCATATTTTATTTAGCTATCTAAAATAACTAACGTAATTCAAATATGTTTTCTATATTTTAGGAAGTGTTTGATGAGGATGTACCTTTGACAAACGACACACTCGTTCAAGTTTGGAAGAGTGGGTGGATCGATGAATTGGTGAAGGTAATGTTATTAGAAACTAGGAACTCATATAGAGTTTCCTTCTACCTCACACATAAATTCACTGCAAACCTTATATGTTTTATTGGTGTTGGTTTACAGGTTCTAGAAGCGGGTCACCGCGTACTCTTCTCATCGGCATGGTACCTGGACCACTTGCAGAACGAGTGGCCGTCGTTGTACACGGTGGACCCACGGCGCATTGTGCGCGACGCCACTGGCAGCGACACCTTGCCAGCCGGCGTGATCGGCGGAGAGGCCTGCATGTGGGGAGAGATGGTTGATGATAGAAATGTTATATCGAGGTGCCTAAAAATACATTTTATGATGAAAGGAACTAGTAAGCATTGAAAATAAGTAGTACAAGTTTTTTTTTAACTCTTCAGTGTACGATTTGATGATTAACATTCTTTCCTAAATATTTTGCGTATAAAGTAACAAATTTCTTATTCACTATAAAGTATCATTGCAACGTATCTTTTTCTCAGCCCTCAATAACAGTATTACCCTGTGCGCAGAGTGTGGCCGCGCGCGAGTGCTGTGGCTGAGCGTCTGTGGAGCGCGCCCACAGTGGGTCAGCGCCGCCGGTACTCCTCCGCGTCACTACCGCACTCCGAAGTCTATCGCCGCATGGAGGAACATGTGTGCCGCATGAACAGGAGGGGCATCAGTGCTCAACCGGCCAGCGGTCCTGGCTATTGTCTCGTTTAAAAATAAATAGATAAAAATCCTCTTTCGTGCCTTTCCTGTTTAATTCCTGCATACGCAAACAGTAATCAATTCTGGTAGTCGAAACAGTAGATACAATTCTAAAGTTGTTGTGCATTTTGAGGTACATCTTCAACTAGTTCCACTGCGCTTTAAAATTGTATTCCAGTTGTGTTGTTAGCAAACACATTGTCAGTTTTAACTGCACTGGGAACTGAGGGTCAATCAGAAAATATTTTGATGGGAATTTCATTGAATTTCGTATCGTCGTCGTCGTCAAGAATAGTTCCCGTCCTGTGCGTCACGTCCTCCGCCAAATTCAAATTCTCGTCATTTCCTTTTATAAAAAGGGTAGCAAAGGGAACGTGGACTAGGATAGGTCCTCCGACACGGACACTCATCAGAGTAAACGAGAAATTGCTTCCACTTTACGCCTGTCTTATCTGTGGTCGTGGTATTGCACTGGGAACGCCAGCCTGTTTGTTAACAATACACTTACTTTTATAATTATTATTCCATACATACACATAATCTTTGGGTAATTCAACTAAAATTGATGACCTAAAGTTTAACTTTTTAATTTATTATAATCAGCAAACGTAAAACCACCCTTAAAATCCCAGCTCAATTCTCAAAAACCGTAAACTATTGTACCGTTTTTTTACCGCGTACTCTCTACCCTAGCCCGTCATTAAGCTTTGAAATATTTATCATCTGTAACGATTGGTAAACAATTTTTGTTTGAATACATGTGCACATCGTGTCCATAATCTTTACCGCATATTATTTTTAAAATAAGCGATATGCGACTCGTTTTCTAAAAAATAAAATCAATAATGTCAGGGTACCTAGAGGTAAAGTACCCTTTCAAATCAAACCTCGGCCTAAATCCTTTCAAGGTAAGTTTTATTTCGAAAACGAAAACTAGTGTTTACAATTTTTTTTAATACTCATTGTTGTGTTTGTTAGTCATGGAAGAAACAATGGTGTATACTTCGGCCAAGTGCGACTTGTGGCGGTGGGTCCCTGGCTGTGTACTGCAGCGAGGCAGGCGCACCCGCGGGCACAGTGGACCTGCCCTCAGGTTGCATTGTAAAGCGGGCGAAGTCTCGCACTCGCCCTCACGCGTTCGCCGTGTTTTCCGTTGAAGAGCCCTGCAAGCCTCGCGTGCTCCTCGCCGCGACGTCGAATCATGATGCTCAACACTGGATGGACAAGATTCGGAACTTATTAAATGCTGAAAATTTGATTGGTGAGTTTATATTTTTACTACCTTCCACAGTGTTTGTTTTTGTGAATTAATTGAACACAGGTGAAAGATTTCTATCTGAATAACAATTTCAAGTATGTATATAATATAATTTAGAAAACTAAAAATCTGTGCATATTAAATCCAGTTTTTAAATAAGAATGCACATTAGCAATTATTAGTTATCCAATAAAAAATATATCATTTTCACCGAGTCTATGAATTAAAATTCTTAAGTTAATTAAAAAATGTCATTAATATTTATCTAAAGTATTTAAATATATTTTGATGTAAATGAAATTTAAATAAAATACAATATAAAAGTTAAATATTTAAGAATAAAAAATGAAACAATATTATGAACTACTAAGATGTCTTGCACCACAAAATCAATGCAAATATAGTTTGAATTACATAACATGAATGCTAGGAACCTAGGGGTGTGCAGAGATTGATTATTATCGTTTTGAAATGATCCGGATGCATCTCTTAGCCATAGATTCGAGTTTATACATCTATGCATGTGTGGTTGTAACAATCAAGTATGCTTTATATTATCTTTAGAATGTCACTTGTGTTCTATACTCTAATTAATTGGTTGTCATCAGTCCGCATATGACTTGTGGATGTCTTACTTTGCCGACAAGATTGTCTTTTAAATACCTAAGTTTTTAGATTCTAAATAATAGTAATGTTAAATATGGCTTTATTTAATACTTTTGACCATATATTAAGTTTTATAAATATCTTGATCAAAACAAATTTTCCAAGGTCGGCAACTCATTTGCAATTCCTCTACAGTGGTATAGCATATTTCCATGGGCGTTGATAATCACCTTGATGTTCCTGCTACTTGTTTGTCTCTTTATTGTAAAAAAAATTGCCAATTTTTTTATTATTTCCTCGGTAGTTTAGTCTTTGTTACAATTACAGGTTTCGTTTATCATATGTTTATTTTTTATTTACATAAGTCAATAATTATTTTATAATTAACACAGATGCAGATGTAAAGGAAGGATATTTCCAGTGACCTGTTGACTCAGGGCCATTGTAAATTCACTCTGAAATGTTTAACTTATTACTCACACCTACATAAATAAGAATCAAGATGTTTGGACTTTCCATGTTTAATTTATCTTATTGTTCTACGTAGAAGGATGAATAAATAAGCCTTATTAATTCCTATAAACTTTTAGATTTACAAAGGAATTAAACTAATGTTTTTTAAATTTAGTTTCGAGCAAATATTATGAATCTATAGCAAGCCTAGTATTATGGATATGGGGTACATTTTTCAAGATTGTTTTTGATTTAAATTGTTCCATCGTACTTGGTACTTAAATGTACCATGTTCGCCCGGCCGTGGCCCAAATTTGCGTCATTGTGTGACGTCACAACATTGAATGCAAATGCGTTTTGCGTTCATATTTGTTATCCTACGAATGTGTAACGAACGACAAAACGCACGGCTTTATGTGCCATTGTTTTACATCGGGTTTCGAACCTGACGTGTTAAGAGATTTCCTTGTGTGTGACATGCAATGTTTTTTTATATTTTTTTTTACCACACATCACAGCTAACAATGAGTGATTTGAAGTTATGACCATTTCTTTTGAGTACTGTTGATATTTGATTTCTTTTTTCAAATATGGAATAGGATAGGAAAAAGGAAATTATATGTAGATGAATTGGTAAGAAAACAAAAAAAAATCTTTTACTTTTTGATAGATTTTTAATAATATATGAGTTACTACATTAGGATTTTTTTAATCAATAATTTTAAAGTTCTTTTTTGAACTTTACTGCCTTTATATAAGTTGATCAAATGTTCCATTGTTCATTCAGTTACATACGCAGGAACATCTAATTTCATTCATTCGCTTTGGGGCTGCTTCCCTTGACCTTCGTGATACTAATGTAAATTTTGATTACCTGCATTATCTGATAATATTGACGATTTTTGTTGAAAATAAACTCGTTAAAAAGATATTTGACATAATTTATTTAAAATGATGTTCATCTTAAGAAAACAGGAAACAATTTATTTTATTTAATATAGTTGCCATGAGTTATTTATGATTGTAATTCTCGATATTGCCTTTCATAGACGGGAGATCCCCGTTCATCTTTCGTTAATAAATCATTATTATTTTGAAATTATCCATTGTGTGGATTCAAGCATTAAATATTACAATTCAAATCGCATTCCTGTTCTCATATCCTCAGTCCATCAATATGTTAACAAAGCTGAAATATCATGCTTCATTCACCTTCATTCGTTCATCATTCATTACAGGCGAGGGCCCGTTGAAGGATTCGTTCAGTGTGACGGTGTTGAGCACAGAGTTGTCAAAGAAGTGCGGGCTGAGCGGCGCAGACTGTGCGGTGACGGTGGGCGCTGCGGGGCTCCTGGTGGCGAAGCCCCGCCGCCTGGCGACCTTGCTCCCTTGGCCCCACCTAGCTGAACTCCGATCTGACCCTGATGATAAGAATATATGCGTGCTTACACTTGATAGGTTGGTCTGCTAATGCTTTCATTTACGTTCTTTGACGAAATTCATCATCAACTCTTCAAAGCTTGCATCATCATTAACTTTTTAACTTATTATCTTAGTGTTATTTTGATGTAAATGGTTATAATTCTCTTTTTTTTTGTATAATCGGAATTCGTACAAAACAAATGTTCAAATAACGTAAAATAATCTTGGTGTTTAAAAGCTAAACTCAACACAAAATTAATAATAGTTATAAAAAAATGATAAAAGAACTTTGGACGCGCGCATAACAAAGTACTTTAATCCCTATGCCACAGGGTCTTTAACATTGTATAAATATGTAAAGTCAAAGGTTATTTATTTTCCTCAAGACGAGTACTTACAAAAATAATATTGTTGTGAACGTAATTAGTGGTTCCCGTGAGAACTGGCTATCAGCGTTCTGTGTACGGCCATTACGTAACGATCGTGGAACAATAGTTAGCGCTTAGCAAGTGAATTAGTATACCAAGTAGGTATGTATTCCTTTAGTCGTAAACCGTATTACTTTAAATTCGTTAAAATTTGTCATGAAATTGTTCTTAGAAGCGCAGTAATATTTCAAAAGTTTTGTTCCATTAGAGATTAAATATGATAATTTTGCTGTAAGTTTTAATAATTTAAGAAGCAAAGGGATTAGTGACAGATTGACAAATGTGTTGATTAAACGTCTATTGCGCTTTGTTTTCTGGTAATAATCAAAGTATGGATGTTATTATTAATTGTAAAAATCGTAGCTTCGTATTAAAGTGATAATCGTTTCGTCTGCAGTGGGTTCAGTGAGGGTAGCGGCGTGATGAAGCTGTCGAGCCCGCTGGCCGGCGAGCTGGCGGCGGCGGTGCGCAGCGCACTGCGGCGCCGCGCCCTGCCCCGCGCCAAGCTCAGCCGGAGCGAAGGTGACCTCAGAAGTCGTAGAGAAGTCGAAGCCGGTAGGTTTTTTGACTTTTGTAAATGCTTAGATGACTTTTTACATATTTTACCTGTCGACCTGAAGAATTCGTGCAACAGATGTTGCGGGCTTTATCAATGTTATTTAATTTAAGTTATATTTTTGTATTTACAGAAGAGGCGCGGCGCAGCAGCTGGTACAGCGGACCCTCGGAGGTGTCACTAGATGATACAGATCTGATCATGTGCAAGGTACATCATTCATAGAGTTATTATTGATGCGCAACGTCTGTCTATAAGATAGCAGATATAAAGTGTGTACGTGTGTTCAGGAGCCGCGCTCGTTCTCCGCGGGCCCGCTGTCGCTGCGAGCGCGCGCGCTGCTGCACCTCGCACCGTACGACCACATGTCCAGGTAGCCGCAGCATCACCGCATCACCGCACAGCAGCACCATGCTCACCTCACGTGTGTATCACATGCGCTTGCTTGTGTTGTGCAGCGGCTACGACCGGCGCTCGCTGCTCTCCGTGGCGTCCGGCGTGTACGAGGAGATAGCGGAGGAGCCGGCCGGGCGTGCGCTGGCGGCGCGGCGAGCACTCGACTGCGAGGAGCCGACCTACGAGAGCGTGGCGGAGTGCCTGTACGCGACAGTGCGACGCGCACGACGCGCCCCGCCGCCGCCGCTGCCGCCGCGACACCACGCGCCGTACGTACACACCGACATGTATACATACCTCTATTCTTATCATAAAACTATTATTGACAGACCTATGACATGCACTTGCAGGCTGGTGAAGCTGGGCGAGGCGTGGGCGGGGGGCGGCGCGGGCGCGGCGGTGACGCGGCACAGCTCGTTGGGCTCGCTGCCGCGCTACTGCCACTCGCGCACTCTGCCCAAGGCCCGCCAGCCCTTCAGCGTCTTCAGGTATACGACGATATAATACGACTCGCTTCAGTCCGCTCAGTCGCGGAGTCAGCGCTGATGTTCAAATATCTCAATTTCCAGAAAGAGACTGAAGAGCGACTCCCGGATGGCGAGCTCGCCGAAATCCGACAACTCCAAAGAAATCAAAGACGTCGAAACGAAGAAGAAGAAATTCGACTTCCCGCCGCCGCGAGACATATTCAAGAGCTTCCGAGTGAGCAGGAAGATGAAGAACCTGAAGATCGGCTCCGCGCTGGGTAAGGGCGAGACCAAGAGCTGCGAATTCCTCGACGACACGCGTCACGTCGCCGCCAACAGGTGCTCCAAGTCCGTGGAGTGCCTGGAGGTCGCGCCGCCGGACGAGGTGGACGGGCCGGAGGAGGCGGACGGCGACCTCTCCCTGCAGATAGACGACTCGAGCCTGGCGGCGCTCGCTCTGCCGCCGGAGATCGTGGAGCTGATCCTGCGCGGGCGCGACCAGCTCGCCAAGCTGCGGCTGAAGGAGGCGGCGGCGGAGGGCGAGTACGTGCCCATGTCGCCCATAGTCCCGCCCCCGCCCACCGAGCACCACTACATCGTCATGTCCCCGCGCACCAACCTCGCCTGATCTCCCGCATATCCTGCACCCAGCTCTTACCACCTGCCGGGGTTAAGGCTTGTGATATTTTTTTTAGTTAAAGAGAGTAGTAATTTATTTGGTAGAAGGAGGATAATTATAAAATTCGGAAAGGACTGAATTTATCTGACTGTCGTCGTTTTGACGTAAATTAGCAATTTATACAACGTTTTAAATATGCTTTTCATATTTAACAAACAACTGGCTCACAGTGATACAATGTGTTTGGGGAAGCGAGTGCTTGCGAAACATAACTGTGATACAGTACGACATCACAAAAAATCACACAAGGAAAATGACATATTTTATGTTACACACCAGGTATATAAATTAACACGCGGATAGATGAAAAATATAATAATTTTTAAATAATCATACTTCTAGATCGGAAATATTTATTTCATGAATTATTATTAATTTATAATATGTTTTAGTTGATAAATAATTAAATAACGGCATAATAATTTTTGTAGAATGAAATTTAAAATCTCTGTCTGATTTGAGGATGTCAAATATAAGAGATATAATTTTTTTTTTCTAAGTTCAGTCTCTTTACACATAAGATTTGTAATCCTACATAATTTTTTTCAAATATCTCGCAGCTATCTCGCTTACTTCACGAGACAGTATAATCGTCCATTTGACTTAACAGTTTCTAAGCGTGATATACATAAACTACTAAAAGGCCTACTGTCTTGATTTAACGACTTTAATCAGATATAGAATTTTTAAAAAAAAGCTTTAAAGAACTTCATAATACATATCTAAGCTGAAATAATATCATTGTAAAAGGATTTAATATATAAAAATTCCACTTTGGTTATTGCTTATTTTACACAACTTTCTACATATAATTACGTACTCAGAACTTGTATTTCGAAAGTTCTCAAATATTCCATTAGTCCATAAACTTTCGTCCTTAAAATTATATACAACAGTATTATTGTGAAATTTAAATTAAAAAAATATGAGTGTAAATTATTTGGGCATTTTGACCATATGTTAGTGTATATGCTGACTTTTATAAGATAAAGTAGGAAAATAAGATTGATACCATCAAGGTGTTTTAATAAATTGAGCTAGTTTTAGAAAAGGTAATAGTTAGGACCAGGATGTGAACGAATTGTATTTAAGACATAGACTCAAAGCTAGATTTTAGTTTATAAGATAATTTAGGCGAAGCTACGCATTATTATCATCGCCTTAAGACTGAAAACAACGTCAATTGTTGTGCCCTAAATTAATAAATACCAAGTGGCTGTTCATAGTTAATAAAATTTATGTACAGTTCTTTTCATATATCACGGCGGCTCAACGAGATCGTCACCCTGCGAAGTCCTCCGTATCCCGCTACCTACACAACTAACATTTGATGTGCGCAGACTCACGGAAAGTTAAGAGCCGCCAATATTTTTGAAAACTACTGTACATCGTCCGACATTAATTTTTAACTTCGTATCCTTGATTGGATACTTTTGGATATGAATATATAAAAGGGCCGCGTTGATGAGTGTCATTTCAGATGACGCGGAGTGAGCTCGATCGAATTAAAGGCAGCTTTATTGTACTAAGTATACGGCTTTATTTGCGCTGACGTGTTGTGATATTTAATGTAACTTGTTATGTATTTGGCTTTGTTGGTTATTGAGATAATATGTTGGTTCCAAACGTTGGACGATTGGCGAATTGTCGCCAAGTATTAATAGATGTGGAAATTGTTTGTGTGGCAAATGTTTCCGAACTTAGAAGTTGTGTGGCAAATGAATGTCGCTTGTATTTTAGTATAAAGTTTTGATATGTGAAAAGATATTTGGCCAGTCTTAGCTTGATTGCGTAGCTTATTTTCTAGTGTATTTTATTGAGATTTATGTCACAATAATATCGATCTAATCAATATGTTATCGTAGACTAGTACTTAATTCTAGCGTCCTTACATCTTTGCTTTATGTAAGAATATTGAATCGATCTCCTTAGGGTTCCAATTTGTATTTATTTTGAAGAATAACCAATTTATTACGAGGCTGATGTGATAGATTTGGCGAAGTATTATTTTTATCAAAGTTTTAAAAGTTTGTAGAGGTTTTTTTTAGAATATTTTTTTCCGTGTAACTGCTTGTTATCTCTTATTTCACTTCGACTTTTTAAATCACATTTGTTTAATTCCTATATTATTCAATGTCAACATTTTTGTAGTAACTTTTTTAATAACTACTATATTCCACGCGATAAAGCGACGCGACGGGATTTGACATCGCGAAAGATGCAAAGGAAATGACCAGTCGTGATAGTGGAAACCCACTTTAATCTTTATTTCGATATCATGTCGCTTCGCATCGCTTTTACTGTCGAGGTTACTAATCACATTTTAGTGTTCATTGTTTATAATTTTTAGTGGTATTTCTTCTTGTATTTATTTATATCCCTTAAACAAAATCTTTATAACTATAAACTCTGTAAGATCAGCAATTACATTTACAATGTGAGAGTTTGTTTAGAATTAATATGTATATGTTTTGATTACGACTGTATTGCGATACGCACGAGGGAATAGATCCGTTGTTGGTTTGTTTGTTTAGTTTATTTATTTAGCGGCTGGGAGTTTGGGAGAGGAGCACGATCTTGTGTTATATTCAAATAAAGTCTGTACGTGTATGATGTCTAATATTTTATTTACTCCTTTTTTAACAAAAAAAGAAAGAAATATTAAAACACAGACAAGGCTGCAGCAAGAATACCAACGAAAGAAGCACTTAGCAAAGGACACGTGGTTTGCACGGACCGGCTTTAGTGTTCAGCACCCAGTCCACCTCCGGCGCCTCCTCCCTGTGGGCCGGCTTGCGCGCTAGACCTATTGGCCACCCAACGACTAGTCCTGCGCGCGTTGCCAGCCCTGGTTCCTCCTTTTTTTTTATAACACAAGGGAGCAAACGAGCAGCGGGAACACCGAGGTGTTAAACGACGCCCATGGACATCAGCAATACCAGAGCAACCGCAGATGCGTTGCCGGCCTTTGAGATGATAAGCTCGCTTCTTGAAGGACCCTAAGTCGTAGCAGTTTGGAAATACCGCCGAGGACAGACCATTCCACAACGCTGATGTGCGGAGCAGGAAGTTTCGCGCAAACCGCACGGTTGTGGATTGCCAGCCATCGAGATAGTGTGGATGGAACCCGGCGGTCTGTCGTGTCGTTCGATGACGGAACTCGGCGGCAGGAATCGTTCCAAACAATTCTTCAGAGCACTCCCCGTGGTATATGCGGTAGAAAATGCAGAGGGAACTAACGTCCCTCCGCAGCGCCAGTGTCGAGCCGATCAGTAAGACCTCGGTCGTTGTCGTCTCTTAGCTTCACCGTGCGCTCCTCACGGTTACTAGAGCCCCACCGCCACAAGGCGGGAACCGTCGGTGGGGAGTCAAATTTAACCTAAGGTAGTCCAAACACTAAAAATTCGCTATGAAGTAAAAGCTACGTTTAATCATGACTTACATAAATATCGGAAGCCTCTCTTTCCCTTCCTTGTAAGTAAATCATGGAAGTTTTTAATAATACGCTGTAAGAGGTGCATAGGATTAGGAAGTAAAAATATATTATTCCTATGAAACAAATATTTTGATTGATGTTAAAGCTCTTGTAGAAGCTCGGGCCTTATTTTATTTTGCATTAAGTTGGGAGAAACAGTTAAAGCGGGACTATGTTCATATATAGTCTCGTTCTTACTCCTTCTTCCTTGTACGGAACGTAGTTGTTCTTCCTATGCACCTCCTAAAGTACGCTCCACATATATAAAAAATTTAAAAAAACCACTCAGACAGCGACAGCACCCCACACCCCCCGCTTGCGCAGAGGGCGAACGATCATCGAGGGCTGGCAGCGAGCTGCTGCCGCCCGCCTCACGCTCAGGGCACCGCGCCACGTCTCATCAACGTGGTTGGTACAATCTCACATGTTGTAAAGGTCTCGTGAAGAACTTACTATAGAAATGATCCTATGAAGTAAGGTCTTGTCGTAGTTTGGCTCACCCGCACACCTTATTACAATGGGACAAATCTCTATATCGTGATTTTGATTTTCAACAATTGCTTCCCACGACATCTAGTGGCAACGTAGCTCTACTAACTTATACTTATTCAGATGTGAAGTTGTTTTCTAATATTTAGCGTCCATTAATACATATTTCCAATATAATTTGATAACAAAATATTTGTAAACAAAAGAGTAACATTTTTATCAAAAATTAAAAAGTAATTACGCTTTCTTTATAATCGAAACAGCGCCATCTTTAATGTAAATTTTACACTAATTTACCAACGAATTAAAAAAAAAATTATAATGTATTATAGTTTTAAAGGATTCAACATAATAAAATAAAGGAAGGATTTTTTCAGTCAGGAATACCAGTAAAAACCCCTTTTCAGTTATATTCGTCAAATAAAGTATGAGAGGTTTTGTTTACTTCGTTGCATTGTGCAGTGTGGGAATAATTAAACACGTTGCATCGATGATATATTACTTTATTTATCACAAAATAAACGTTCACAATATAACGCACATTATAAATTACATCAGCTTCTTATTAAATTAGAGGAAAGCGGTTCAAACTAGTTTTCAATTATAAAAGGTTATTTTGAGAACATATATAAAAATATTTTCGAAACAACTTCGATAGTTTTAATTTCAACAGAAATTTAAAAAACACGAATAAATTAAATATCGAGATTGCAATTTGATACATTATAAATATCTAGGATTAAACGGACGTTATTCTTTATTCACAAACACAAAATATTGGCAATATAACAATATTTGAGATTGCAGAATCTAGATACTACTTTTTTAATTATACATATTTGGTCAATCATTAAAATATGTTTTTTACTTATATAAATTAGATTGATAGCGGTGAGATTTGTTTGTGTGCATTTAATTTAATTATAATTATTTATACAAGTAATACTACTATTGTTCACGCGTAAATAAAAATAACAATGTAAAATAAAAATATGAGTTTCGTTCAAGAAACACTAGATGGCGCTGCGCTGTTTAAATGCGCATAACGCTAAATATACGACGCAATCAGATAATAGCAACCAATCAAGCAGAGGTTCGGCCTTCTCGGGCACCCTTGAATTGGAATGCTAAAAGAGTTAATGAGTGACAGCCCAAGCCGAGGTCCCCTCTTGGGTCTTGGCCTTGGGTCACTCCATGGAGCGTCCACCTAAGCGATCTAAGAGCTCGGTGACCTGACCGATGATCGGTAACAATAACGAAGTAACAGCCCGAGCCGAGGCTCCTGAGGGAGCTCTCGAGTCTTGTTACTCTTAATAGAGATTCAGGCTATGCGCCATCTGCGCTCCGCCATCTCATGCCCGGTGCAGCTGTAATTGCCTCTTCAAGGCAAACAGTGACTACTCAGTCACAAATATATACGACTCATCCAGCAGACCTTTTTTCGTTTTATTTAATACGGGCCCTGGAGCTTTTTGGGTTCGTATACAACTATATAGTAGAATATTCAAATATTTTAAATACATACATACATAAGATGATTCCACTGAGATGAGATTATAATCATTATTTCACATTCAAACAAACAAATTATAATAGTTATCAGATGTATATAGCGGCTCTTAACTTTTTGCGAGTCGCTGCGCAGAACACGATTTTAGGTGTATTGGGGCGCAGCGGGATGCGGTACACTGCGCAGTATGACACCCCCCCCCCTCTCTTCAGGCACACAGATATTTGAAATCAATTATACTATAGACAGTAGTTGATTCTCAGAGCTACTGAACGTACATATAAAATTGCATAAAATAAATAAACGCTTTATAATAATTATCAAAACTATAAACAATTTTATATATATTCTTTACTAAATCTACATATAAAATTGTGTTCTGCGCAGGGAATCGCAAAAAGTTAAGATATCTGAAAACACATTTATACATAAAACTTTTTAATATAGGCTTCAACATAATTGTAAACCGAGTCGCCTCATACAAATGCAATTAAAAACTAAAACCTAAAAATTTTAAAAAATAAAATTAAAGCCGAATTTTATAATAATATTCTTTTTTTGGATTTATACAGAAAATTACATACTTTTCATTAGAAAATGTGAAAACTGCTTGAAAAATATTATAAATTATTTTAACTGACGTACTCATTATCGTTAAATAAATGTATACACACTGGAATGCCTGAATCAACGCTGGATTACTATTGGAAATATCAAACCAAAACTGGAATGCACTGTGTTAGTTTATCTAGATGTAATCCAGCGCTGATTTCTACCGCTGGACTGGAATAGTGAAAACCGATATTTGTCTATCAATATAAATTTGAAAAAAAAAAATTTTGTGGTCATGAAAAATACAAAATTTTGAACTTACTACAATCATTTTTATATCACGTACGTCTGTAAATATATTATATGAAGATCCTAATGAATTTGTAAATTCTAAAAAAAATTTGTAAATTAGGACATTGTGTAAATTACTAATAATTTCACCAGTTTTAGCTAAAAATGTTTGTGCTAGGAACCTAAGACCTCATATTTACGTCATAGCATACGCCACTGAGCTATTGGCGCTTGTTTCATATTTTACAATACTATAAGCTACACGTTTTCAAATAAATATTACATCTAATAATTAACTTTCTTCACCTTGTTCTTCACGATGCATTCTTGATGTTAATTTACCTGGAATTTTATTTATTTTATTAATAAAAGCAGTTGCTTATGCTCTAAAAAAACGTTATAAATGTAGTCTATGTCACCCGGGGATAGTGCAGCTTCCCAACAAAAAAATCTAGTATTCAATATAGGGTCTGAAATTACAATCAAATCTTTCCTCTTTATAATACTTTCTCTGCGTAATTTTGACATTTGTTAACCTGTGACTCTTAAAAATAAAAAAAAATTTCGTCTAATAGTAAAGTTTCCGAGTCGAATCTGTTCACCTCCCCCTCCTTTCTTCTCTCCTTTAAAAGGTTGACATATTGTGATGTTGATTCTACAGTTAACTACATTTTGCTATTTCTCTGATAAAGAAAAAACAAATTGATCACCGAAGTATGTGGAAATGGATCAGATGACCTCCCACTCGCTGTCCAGATGTTCGTCCGGTGAGATCACATCTTTGACGCCGTTCTTCAAATCCAAACGCAATTGGATATTCTCCAAGTTCCAATTGTTAGGTAGCTGCACAACTTTAGGCACTAAATCTATTACGTTAGGTTCCAATTTCGCTTGTACAACTTTCTTGATGGGTTTCTCTTCGTGTTTTTCGCTTTGTAAAGGTTTTTCTTCGTACGGTTTAAAATATTCTACTTCTTCAGGCGCTTCTTTAGCTCCGTTAGTTGTCTTAGTTATATGGCTCGCTATACTAAAAGATTCCAGATTCAATAATTTTGCTAAAATTTTCTCTTTTTCTTCAATTTCCTTTTCGAGCACATCATCGTTCTGTGTATCATTACTGAAAATAATAATATTTGAACTAAATTGCACGTTTTTTTAATATAGCAAGAACTGATTTAATACGAAGGCACTTAAGTTTTTTTTTTTAAATAAACAAATACCTGTAGACACTGAGGTTCATGAGACAGGGGCTGGTGTAGCTGGTTGCGGGTGCTGGTGCTGGTGCTGGTGGTGGTGCTGGTGCTGGTGCGGGGGACTTGCGTACCGGCGTGCAGAGCCGCGGCGTGGTGGCCCCGGACCCCGCCTCCCGCCGGCGACTCCTCTTGCTGCTATGTATCAACTCCTCGTCGCATTTCTTTTCCATTATCCTATTGTAAATACTCAATTTCTTCTGCAATTCTTCAGATTTCACTTTCCTTATCTCCTCAGCATCGCTGGATACGTCTTTGAATTCGTTGACAATAGATTCTAGAACGTTATCGGCTATGTCAGTGGGCAGGTTCTTTATAGGTGGTAACTCGAAGCACTCCTCCGCGCTGGCGACGGCCATGCTGTCTAAGGTCTCGTTCCTGGTCAGCAAGGAGATGGGTTGCTCGAGGACACTGGTGATGTATGGCGCGGTGGTGTCCAGTTGCGTCAGTTCGCGTACCGTGTTCACCGCCTGTTGGATCGACGAAGTCAGCGATCGAGTCATCAGATTTGATGTTTCATCTGTAATTAATTTTAGAATCTTTTAATTTTATTACAATTAAATACAAATAATCATTATGATAAGAGCTGACACAATTTAGGTTATGTTGTGATGGCAATCCTGTCAAAATTTATTAGCAATGTTTTGTTACCGAATGTTTGCTAATGTTTGAAAATAAACAATAATAAACAATAATAACATACATATAATACATATTGTTTCTGTATTTAGTAATTTTGGTCGAAAGTAAAATATATTAAATTGAAACAAAACATTTTTAAATTATTAGATTCGTCGTCAACATTGTTACAATGAAAGGAGTATAAAAGCTTATAAAGCTAAAACTATTTAAGGTTATAAATAATTTACTGTATTTCTTACGTTAATATTTGCTAAGTAATAATAAAAATATTATAATTATTTCTAAAATAAAATCTGATGTAATAAACAAAATAATGAACACGCCAAAACTACAGTAACCTGTATAAAGAACAAGATAATTGCTATTATACACAAATACACTGAATGCAGCCAAAAAGCAAAGCAACAAAAGCGAACGCACAACAAAAACGCAGCGAAGCAGTGTTGCTATGCGCGGAAATGGTGTAGTAAAAAAAACACAAAAATAATTCTGCAAAAAGTATATTTATGTATAAATACATTACTCAGTATTAAAACCAAGGACCAAGAATTAAAAGAATTAAAAAAATTAAAAAGAAATTTCAAGTTTTTATAGTTTTTGTTTTTAAACTTAGATCTTCAAGTTAATCCGCGTAACAAACAAAAAATATAAACGCTATATAATGGTCAAACTTAATATATGTACCTTAAATATCACAAATTGTAAATAAAATTGATGAAATGCATAAATATATTAGTGAGAAAAATATATTTTACTGCTATAAGATATAGTTCATTACTTATAGTTTACCCTTCCAAAATTGTTAGTAATACTAACTACTCTAAACAAATAAAAAAAAAAACAAAAAGAGTCAAAAATGTTGCTTTTAAAAAATTAAGAAATGCGAAAAATATTTTCTGCGTAACTTTAAGTACATACGTCACATTCCAAAACTTTTTTTGTACACTGTATCAGGCCTTTATGAATATACAACCAGTTAATACAAAAAAAATTACTAAGGCACACAAAAATTATTCACTAAATAAAAAAATCAAATTAAAATTATCTAATGAAATCACTTTGGGTACACACAACCATATACTAAATCGATATTGATCTATATAACAATCTTTAAAAAAAAAGCTGATATTATCAACGAGAAAATTAAAAAAATTACTGTTAAGCCATTCCTCAGATCACAATGATCTGATAATCACAAAAACTATTGTATTTAAAATGTCTGTTAATCATTATTTTGCACCGTAAAATATTTTATGGCAAAATTTTTTATCTGTACTTCAAAACTTGTGTTGCAAATTGCAGACATTTACATAAACCCAATTTTATTTAATCTTATATTTAAATCTTACATTAAGAATAAAATATATTGGTCCAAATTTGGTATTTGTTAGAATTTTACTAACTACAACTATATTTACCAAATACAACAAAAAAACAAAAAAAAATAACCTCAAATTTTTTAAGTACTACATACAATAAAGAAAATATTAAGTACAATTAATACAGGAATGTTAAACTAACCGTTGGTTTCTAAATCCAAAATCCGTCTAATACATATTGTTGTCTCTCTGTTGTCAAAGATAATGACAGGGATGACGATATGTTTTATACAGAGATTTTGCTCTCCGAAACCCACGGCAAGTCTGTGTATAAATTTAATCTAATTAAGTAATACAGTCGAATATGGATAAGCGAGAAACCTTCATAAGCAACAATAATTGTCCAGTCAAGACTAACGACCTTAAGCAAGAAGCTCAGGTAAGAGAGAAACTTCTAGAAACGGTCCTTTGAACTCTCGTTTGCCCAGGTTTGACTTCAACTAAAAATCTAACTTTATTAAAAGTTCAATGCTAATAAGCATCAAAAATCATATTTAATTTTTCTTAGATAATAAAAAAAATTAGCAAACCTTTTTAGTCAAATTATAAATTTTTTTAAGTAATTGTCAGTAACATGGCACTAACTACAACTTTCTTAGGATATAATTTTGTTACTAAACTACAACTTAATCTTACATTTAATCATAGTACTAAAGGTGAAAATTAAAAAAAAAATAGTAAATGTAACAGGAAAATTGTTACATTTACTGTTACATTGATATAATTGTTAATTATTTTTGTTGAAATTGTTTAAAGGAGAATGGTATGATATTTATAGTGCGCCAAGCTGTTAGTTCTGTCAGAAAATACATACTACAGAGGCATCAAAAATCATAGGCTGTAGTACGACAAAGATTTCGTAACACTTTTTGACATTAACAGGAGGGCGCTAGTGAGCTATACATAATTTAGTTTGACAGCTAACAACTTTGACAGTCAATAAATGTAACAGTTTGTCAAAAAATATGTACAGGACGGAAATTTTCACAACATATTTTTAGTGAGAAATATAGCACCTATTAATAAATATTCTAACATTTTTTACACTTCATAATAATATAAAATTTGAAAGGTTTTTTCGTATCGTAATGCAGGCAGAATGCGAACAAGGTTACACATAATTAATAAAAAAAAAACTAAACATCTGTTCAAATAAAACAGTTGCGCGTCATGTATAGAAAAACAAAGAAATGTGACCCAGTAGGCATATTTATGTCAGGCAGTATTGTATGTCATTGTCTATGCTAACTGCGATAACACGCTCACCGGCCCTGACAACTTTATCAACTAAATATATATAAATGTTAATCTGTGCACACGTGACGTCACGTGCGCGCGTGCGTGTGCGTGTGTGCGTGGTGTGTTGACTGTGTGTGTGTGTGTGTGTGTGTGTCAGAGGTTACCTTGTGGTCGCGCGAGCGCGGCGGGCTCTGGCGCATGCGCGAGGCGCACCAGCGAGCGCGGCCCCTCCAGCACGAAGATCTCGTCCTTGTTCACTGACACAGACAATATCCTGAAACAATTACAAATTAACACCTCAATACCTTCAAATAAAGAGAACATAAAGTAGGTGCTTTTTTAAAAAGAGGGGTGATACGACTAACATTTATACATGGACAGGCTAAAAACCCTGGTATTTTGTACTTATTTGATTTTCACCATTTTGGCGTTGACGGTTGCGGTGAGTAGAGGTGGAGAAATCGACCTAATAACAGAGATTGAATTTATCGTGGGGACTTCTACAGGCGTGTTTAAGTCAGAACGAAGGAAATGATGATATTCCCAAACAATGACTGGTCCATTTATAGAGTTTAGTGTATGAAAAATCATATGATATTATGCACTGACCGCCTGAGGTCGTCCACAACAGCCACAGCGGTGAGCGAGCGCGGGTCCAGCACGTACAGCAGCCGCTCGTCGTGCGCCACCAGGAAGTGCTCGCGGAACACGTGCAGCGGACCCAGGCTCGCCTCGCTCTCGCCCATACCACCACCCGCATCCGCCTTCTTCTGCGCCGGGTTCAGCAGCTCAGCCACAGTCAGCGGATTGGAGATCGCTTCCTGTAATAAACCAACATTTAAAATTCTAAGGAATTTAATCCCTCAAAACCTACTAACCTAGAATAAAAGTTGATAAAAGGGTTGATAAATACTAGTTAGTTGAGCTGCTGCCTTCTCACGTCAATTCATCTTGATGGACATAAAGACCAATGTGAGCTATGGGCATATTACCTTGAAGAGCAGAGTATGGAGCACGTTGCCCTGTGCGTCTGCTCGCCACAGGCGAAGGCCTGCGCGCGCGCAGTACGCGGCCGCGCCCCCGCCCCGCGCGTACGAGTGCTGGAAGACTGCCCCCAGTCGGCACAGGCTGACAGGACAACACAAACATATTTTATTTCATGTATAATAATTACGACAAATTAAACCAGTACTATAGTAAAAGTCCGTTTGGAAGTAAAAACTTTTAATTAATTGAATAATATTACAGTGTAGTACGTAATCAATACATCGTTGGTAGGACAGCGGCGGCGTCCCGACAGTCGTGCGCATACGCATGTTTATAAAGTCAAGGCTCGCGGCTAACTAAGGGAACGGGGGAACTACGGCGGGCGCGCAGCCGGGACGGAGGCGGGGCGCGCTCAGTTCGAGAGGTGGCGTGATGTCGACGCGGTGCTATAGTATATTTAAAGTTATAAAAAAATGATTTAATTTTAATAGCACAAATAATTATATATTTGTCTCTCTTTTTCCGAGTCTTACCTCTTCCTCTCCTTCTTGCCGAGCTGGCTAACATGCCAGCGCGCGTCGCGTCGCTCACAGAGTATGGTGCGGTACAGACTGGACACCAGCAGTGTGTTCTGGTGGTAGCTCATCTGTACTATCTCGTATTCCTCGTTCACTATCTCCATTGACTTGCACAAGTGCTGGAAACGATCGTCCATACATACAGACAGATTAATCCAAAGGGAAACATATTTCATATGTACATATTATGTCAACTAAAATTGCACCATTTATATTGTCATGATTAAAGACGACGGAAAATAATGAAGATGGAAAAGAGCGGTTAAATTAAGATAAACTTTGAAATATTATATTATAAAATAAAAAGGGAAAATGAAAATATAAAATAGAATAGTGAAATGAGATCAGCACGCAATGTTAGAAGATATATTTACAACTGATATTTTAAATAGCGAAAAAAAGTAAGAATAAATACATCATGTTCCAAATACAAAAATATAAAATTATGAATAAAAAACGTAAAAAAATGGTTGCGTATCTGTTGGCAACAATGATGATCGTCATGTATGTTTGTATGTTAACAACATTTAGGATTTAATTTGGAATGTAATATAGACATTTTCTTCTAAACACACAGATTTAGTAACCGATAACCTAAAATATCCCAAAATGTGTGACCTTCGCTGAAACGAATATCGTCAACAAGTAATATAGATCAACAAGAATATAGAGAAAAAGACGAGATAATATTCCTACATAAGTTGTTATGTTACAATAACACATGATATAACAACATCCATTAAACTATCTCGGTGCAACGCTCTGTCGTTATCAATGTAACTTCACTGTTTACATTCGTAATTGTTTTCATAAAAAATACATGTAAACATTACGTATATGTTATGCAAACTTGTTTTTTGTATATGAATTCAAAACGCATAACAATCTTACTTATATTATAAATGCGAATGTTTGTTTTAAGGTATCTTCAGAACGATTGCATGGATCTCGCTGAAATTTGGTCGAAACATAGTCTGGAAAACACTTAAGCTACTAGCTAGCGGACGAAATCGCGGGCGATAGCTATTCTATAAATCATAGGAAACCTTACGAAACTTGACACAACGCTTTCATTTCTCGACAATTTATAAACTGAGGCAATTATTTAATTTTTGGGCAGCTCTATATATTTGTTGTTGCTATGTCACTAATCAGAAATTGATAATACTGACTACATATTTAACATGGTCCAATGTAATTAGATAACTGTAACTAACAAACAATTTAATTCTAAATTAAATTAAATCATATTGATAGTAACTACAAAATATTTCAAACATACATCGACATTTGAGAATTAATTATTTAAACTAATTTCATTTCCTTTTACGATTTTAATTTTTTTAATACTCAGCTGTCAAAACAAATGCACACATTATTTTCTGTCTTTGTCTATTCTATTAAAATAGAGTGGTTAAGAGTTACTATTTGATACCATTTAATATCGAACTATCATATCTTATCATTGTAGAAGCTATTCCTATCTATCATAATATGTTCAGAGCTCACCATATAAAAGTCAATCTCCGTCATAATGATGACACCGCTCTTGTCCCCGGAGAACAGTCGCATACCATTCTTCGACCACTCTATCGATGTGATTTTACTCTTGTGGAGATCACCAATAGTGTACCTGTCACACAAACACTATTTAACGCCTTGTCAATACCTTGTTCCAATACAAAAAATTTAAATGCTTGTTACGCTAAAAGTGCAATATTCTGGCACAACTTTTTTCACACAGCTATAGAAGCTGCCCTTTTTTTTCTTCATTTTATTGCATAAAATCTTACTTCTTATGTGTTAATATTATAAATGCGAATGTTTAGGTGGATAAATGTTTTTAGAAGGTATTTCCAGAAGGGCTTAATGGATCTGGACGAATGGCATGGATGTAGAACATAGTCTTGAATAATATAGTTTTCATTCTTTTTTACTTCACAGTCGTGGGCAAAATCTAGTAACATATTAAATCTATAATAGCCACTATATATAAAATTTGATGTTTCTTTGTTTACTTAAATTTAGCTTTTAATATTGGAATTAGTTTTTGTACCTACATAACATAGTAGTTATAATCATCACCTCACCTCTCCACCTTTGGCTCAACCTTTGGTTTGAGTGTGTCTGGAATGTTCTCTGGGTGCTCCTTGGGGATCTGGAAGACGGTGACCTGACCAGCAGCATTGCCTGCGCCTACCATGTAGTCTACGGTGTTTACTATCTTCACATATGTTATGGGAGATGTAGATGCCTAAAAATGTTATGTCAGTAAAGGAAAAAATTGTTTTAAGTTGCGCTTGATTAACAATAATTAGACAAATGATCTTGTAATTTTGTATTGGACTAAGTGCCCCCGTCAGAAGTGCTAAGTAGTCTCCCTTAGTGAACAATTGTAGATAATATTCTCTAAATAATTTATTTATTATTCTCATACTTTTAACAATGGCATTCCTTTGAATTTGTTCTTGTTACCTTGGGGTAACAAGAGCAAATTCAGAGGAATTAAGTAAGAGGTTGGCCTCTTTCAGTGTTGGTGACTCACGCCAATTCTGTGAGTGGGAAATACCAGCCACACAATGCGTTGGGATCTTGTTAGATTAACTATGTAATAGATATAGGTCTCAAGTATGTCTTGAGGACTTTAAATAGTTATGAACCTTCATAATATAACACAATTACCTATATAATTATAATATAAATTGTTTTATAATTTTATAATGTGTAGAATTTATAAAAAAAGTGCTTTAACACTTCAGAGAGAGGAACTATTTAAACAATGTTATCAACAATATTCAGTTAATCTATGGCAGATAATATTACAATGATGAACATTAAACATTCCTTACTGGAAAGGACTTATCTATCATGGTTCAAATAAAGTGTAGTATTATTTAAATAATAACAGTACTGTACAATTGTGTTCTTTTTTTGTAAATTTAACATTAGCACTTGACTATGATATCTACCTATTAACATTTGTAAAACAAAGATAATATTAGTAACACTTAGATTAAGTAGCCCAAGGTAAAAGAAAGTAAATCTATAGCTACTTCTTACATCATATTTTTTTTCAAAATTTTTATACAACATAAATCTTGACTCATTTGTACATACATTTGTTAAAAATATACAAATATGTAAACATATTTATTAACTTTAAATATTCTACATGAAATCTAAAAAGTTCTTACCTCGCATCGCAATCTTTGAATGTTTCCTTTTTTTCTATCGTACCAGTAAACCAAACCAACATTCGTGCCAAGAGCTATATATTCACTAACAGCATCAACACAGGTTAAAGACAATTCAGTAGAAAATATTCCTGTTTGAATTCTAGGAGGAATCAAGTTCAAAATATGGGAACACGGGGTCCACTCGCGAATAAATCCTTCCTCCGCACCACTAGTCACTTCCATTTTTAATTAAAAAATTAAATGCTTTACAAATAAATAACCAGGTTAGTTAAATGTACGCATAACCGCATCATATAGTAATTAACATTAGGTGATAAAGTTAAATATAAGCATAGTCTCTGTTTTCCTTTTAGCTTTCGCTTAACTTGAGAACTTGCTTGGTGCTTGACGTAAACTTAAGTGTTGCCACCAATTCTGAACGTGATGTTGCCTTATCTAACAGCTTAAGTAGCTTAATGAAGCCAAAATTGTGCTGTAGTTGCCAAATCGTAAAAACTTCAAAAAAGTCAAAGCAACATCATGCTAATCAGGATTTCATTAGTATGATTCTGGTACATCAACAATAACAATATCAAAGGATCCACAAGACAAAGGACTGACGCCGCCGTCAACATTTTTTGAAAAGCCTAATTGGCGACAAAACGCCTATATCGGCAACACTGACCTGTTTTAATTAAAGTTACAAATTGTCATGAGTTCCCAAATTCCCAAATGCCTTGATTTCGTGAAACAGTAATTTTGGACACAGTTCTGCCAACATTTAATTTAAATACGTTATTTATTGTGAACCGCTTATAAATTCAAAAGGTTTTTAACTCTCCTGGTTTCTGAGTACATTTATTGCATTTCAATTTGCTTTTTTATATCACATATATTTATATTTTTTGTATCTATATAAAAATAAATGTGACCACTATACATACAATTTATTAAACGTAATGCCTCGCGCCGTCCTTTTAGATATCTACTTTTTTGAATACTGAACAAAACAAGCCTTCTCTGAGCATGTGAGCTGGGGTCGTGGGTCAATATTTTTGACATTTTAATAAGAAAGTAAATAACAGATTTTAATAGTCTGTCATTTGTTCAACGCAAATGCAATTACCAACATTCTAAATCTAAGTGTACACTTGTCAATTTCTTGTCAAAGTGCCACTGAAACACTAAAGTGGTACTCGGAGAGCTGTTGTGGTTTTACATTTATTGGGATAACAATAGTTAATATGGCAGAACCTTTAACGGAAATACCACTGAACATCGAGGAAACTGTTCAAGATGCAGTGAAAAATGCTACAGATAAAGCACCAACAAGTATCGAAGGCATTGCGATCGCCTACTTGAGTTTGGTCGTTATGGCTGTCTTACCAATATTTTTCGGCTCTTTTAGGTCTGTTAAATACCTCAAGGAGCAAAGGGTGAGTTTCATAACATACTTTTTGTTTAGGATACAATTGTAACCTACTTTTACACAAGTTGCAATTGCAAACCTTTTCCAATAGCTACGTTACACGTCTTGTCATCGTGGCATTACGAGTCAATGCAGTAAATGTAGACATAATAAACTTTTGCGTTTATTAAATCTGCTATTAACAGTGCCACTAAACAACTCATATCATAAAGTATTATTTCATTGTTGACCTTGTTACATGTAAGCAACCACTGCGCGCCAACTTTTGATATCTGAATAGCAATGAAATCGGTAGATAAATATAATAATGTTCGTTGAAATTGTCCTCCAACAATTTCGTCACAATCTACTGTTGATCTGACCATACAAAAATAATCAATCACAAAGACCTTATTTTTCAAAATTTTCAGGAATCTGGTGAGCGCCATGAGACCATGTCCAATAAGGATGCCCTGATGTTCCCAGTGATAGCCTCCTGTGCTCTCTTCACTCTCTACATTTTCTTTCAGTTCTTCTCCAAGGAGTACATCAATCTACTTCTTACAGGATACTTCTTCTTTCTCGGTGTATTGGCATTGAGCCATCTTCTGAGGTGAGTTCAATATACCCATGTCTTTTACCCAAATAATACACATCTATTATGTAAAATATTAGCTAAACTAACTACTAAGTGCCGTTGTAAAGATTAAGAAAATTAATGACTATTTAGAAAACAGCTTTGGCCACCACTCTAAAGGGTGAAAGAGAGAGTACTGTCACTCAATAGAAAAAACTAAGTACTTTTAGGCATTATTAGTTAGAATCCTTTGATGCGAATAGTACACATCATATGCTATCCTTACCACATCAAGTGTCAAAATCTATATATTAATGATACTGTAGTGTATGCATAAAAGTAGTGTTGTTTGTCTCGAGCATAAATGCCATAAGTACATGTTAGAGAGAGGGGATGTCAGTCCATGTCAGACCTTTGGGCCAGCAACATATGTGTCGGTACATAAACGAGCCAAATATAACGCAACAAATGCTACAGATACTATAAACGTTAATATTTTAATCAGGCTAGTATTGTGCCGATACACCAACAGTATGTTGTAGGTCATATTGTAAGATCAATAGAAGAAAGGATTTCTTGTAGGTTTACCTCACTTACATCTTGCAGTGCTTGTAGGAAGTAACTTTACACTTCAGTTGGTGCACAAAAAACTAGTAACTGTAACTGTAAAGTGGTGTATGCTACCCATTTGTAATTTGCCTAGTATAATTGCAAAAATTTAGTAAATCTTATGTAACATCATTGTGTTATAATGTTAGTTACAATATTCCTCCAAAATGGCTTGACTGATTTTTATATACATATTCAGTAGGTTTTTTTTATCATAAGGTGGCAAATGAGCAAGTGGCCACATGAAATCGCTGATATAGCGAGGTGACCGTTGCCCATAGACATACGCAATTGCATATGCGTTGCCTACGTTTAATCGACAGAGGAGAGAATGCACAGAAAGAAAATATTTTACCTTCCGCATCCTCTCATCCGGAAAGTCCACTTCTCATTCTTTCCTTATAAGAAAAAGGGTGGGAAGGGAAAGGGGACTAAGTAAGGCCTCTGAAACGCACACTCATCAAACGAAACGCGAAAAAGCTTCCACTTGAGGCCTGTCTTCTGTGTAGTCGTGGTATTTCACTGGGCGAGCTGGGCCAATTCGTGCGAAGATGTTAAAGCGGGCTCTACCACTGTTAAATTCTGAGTCTGAGAATCAGCTACAGCAAGAACAGCTACTATTTATTTTTTAATCCTGCATAGAGTCACGAGCAACATCTAGTTTTTTTTGGATATTAAAATATTAGCAGTTTTTTTAGTAAATTTACTAATATTTCCTTACCATTCCAACTAAACTCTAGGCTTATGCTAGGATATGGTTTACGACAGTAGTCGAATGGCGGGATTCGAACCCCCGACCTCGTGATTGGAAATCCGTACCCTTAACCATTAGGCTATTGACGCTCCAGCTGGTTGTACATGTTCTTCAAATAGATGGCAGACAAAATTACCCATTGATAGAAAAATTATTTACAAAAAAATTTAGTTGCATGTAGAAAAAATTATTGACCATACCTATATAACTTATTTGATTAACTTGCAAAAATATCTTGTGTAACTTGTTCAACTTAGCACGTCAAGGCCTAATCTAACTATAATTTTCATATGCCTTTCAATGTAGTTATGAAAAACATTAAATTAATAAGAAATATTATTTATTTTAACAGAAAGAAATGACAATGATAGATAGTTATACATTATGGTGCTTAATTTTTTATCTAATAGAAAATTTTAATTTTTTTATTAATAATGAAAAAGGCAATTTTGATGATTGAATATATGTACTAACATATTCTGTTATTATAGTGTTTACATTTAAAACCATTATATTAAAAAAAAACTAACTGATTAGCTCTGTTATTGACAGTGTTAAAGAAAATATGCATAAATATGAAGGCTGATATGTAAAATTATATTGTGCCAACCCTAAGAAAAGGATGATGTTATAGTCACTCCTTACTGTAAATAACTGGTTTTTGTTCGTACCAGCCCTATAATAGCGCTGGTTGTCCCCGCGTCGATCCCCAACATGCCGTACCACGTGCACTTCACACGCGGCGAGGGAGACGCACGCACCGATATAATCAACTACAAGTTCACCTCATATGACGTCATCTGTCTGCTCATCTCACTCTGCCTCGGCGCCTGGTATCTGCTCAAGAAGGTGAGAAATGTTTAAGCCAGAAATTTATAAGCATCATGGTCCTCCCGATGGACAATCTCCATAAGTGAGAAACTCAAGTTTGACAGAAACCTCTATCAGTGAGAAGCATCTTCTTGGATTCTCGCTTATTCTGGTTTAACTTTAGTTGTATGTTAATTTATATTTGACAAGTATAGAAGCAAATGCCATGAGTAACAGAAAATAAGACAGTCATAGACAAGAAGGGATGTTAAGTCATCTGGTTAGTAATTTTCTTTTAGAACAATCTGTTTTTTACGATTACGACTATGCTTTATGTTGAAATATTATGTAATTTCACTAAACCCAATGAAATTAGTAAACATATATTTTTTTAGTCTTTTAACATCAAATTATTTAAGTTCCTAATAGTTTTATTGTATTCATAATTATCATGTTCAAGTCTCGAAATTATTCATCAGTACTGTCATGTGTGCTTTTCCAGCACTGGATCGCCAACAATCTTTTCGGCATTGCGTTTGCGATCAATGGAGTGGAGCTGCTGCATCTGAACAATGTGGTGACGGGCTGCATCCTGCTCTGTGGACTCTTCCTCTATGACATCTTCTGGGTGTTTGGCACTAATGTCATGGTCACCGTTGCAAAGTCCTTTGAGGCGCCTATTAAACGTGAGTCTCATTGAATTTAATTTATAATACACTAGCAATCGCCCGCGGCTACGTCCGCGTGGCATAAAAAAAACATAATTAGTAGTCTATGTGTTCTTCCACACTGTGTTCTACATCTACGCCAAATTTGAGCAAAATCCATTGAGTTGACCCGGAGATACCTTCTAACAAACATCCATTCATCTAAACATTCATATGTATATTATTAGTATAATTGTGTGTTGTGTGACAGTGGTGTTCCCGCAAGACCTGCTGGTGAACGGTCTGAGCGCGTCCAACTTCGCGATGCTGGGCCTGGGCGACATCGTGGTGCCGGGCATCTTCATAGCGCTGCTGCTGCGGTTCGACAAGTCGCTGCGGCGCGGGTCCGAGCTGTACTTCCGCGCCACCTTCCTGGCGTACGTGTGCGGTCTGCTCGCCACCATCCTGGTGATGCACGTGTGGCGACACGCGCAGCCCGCGCTGCTCTACCTCGTGCCCGCCTGCCTCGCCACGCCGCTCACCCTCGCCCTGCTCAAGGGGGACATCAACGCGCTCTTCAAGTCAGTACATACTCCTAGCCTGCCGCTACAAAACTTTAGCAAAACCCAGTGAAATACTTCCTAACAAACAACTAATATTGCTAGGATTGGTGTGTCTGTATGCAATCTCTGTATACTAATAAATAGATGTTAATTTTAGATGCATTTTGGTGAAGTTTTTAGACTCTGTACATAATTAGGTAAAATTGCCACAAACTACAAATTTTATCTTGTAAGAATGTTGACAAGATCTAGATGCTAAATTGCATACAATTAACATATATGTTTATTTTTTATTTTTCAGTAATATTATGTAGAATTTTATATAAGTATAAAATATATACTAATATCTTTAGTCGCCACGACTTTTAGTTTCAAGTCGTGTTAGTTATATTATAATTAAAAAATTGATGGAGAGGTTAGCTTAGAACCAGGAAATGGACATAAGTTTATTATCCCGTTTAAGTATTTTCACACAGCGCAGACGGAGTCGCGGAGCAAAAGCTAGTTTAATATAAATGATAAATATAATTTGCAGCTACGAGGACCAAAAGGCAGCGACTGAGACGGCGGAGGGAGACACGGTGAAGAAGACTGAGTAGGCTGACCCGCTGCCTCCGAGCACAAATCTCCGCACACCAAGTACATACATATAAACAAAGACAAACTTAATTTTTATTATAATATCCTCTTCGTAATGGACTTCTATTGGAATGGTATTTGGTTAAATTTGGTGAATGTTGAAAATTTGTGCGAATTATTTTGAACTTCCATATTAAATTATCTTCCATTTCTTGTACTGTGATGTTTCAATAACATCATTTTTATTTTTATATTGATCGATTAAAATAATTGTGTTCAAATATTCGATGTGTAATTAATGTTAGAAAGAAAATCCGGCACTGTGCCGGTGTACTGGCGCAACACTAGCCTTACTAAAATGTCGACGTTTATGTCCCCTCACTAATCATTCTGACACTTGACGTGATAACGAAAGCACGTCATTCGCGTCTCGGGATTCTAACTAATAATGTCTAAAATTAAATATGTGCATAATATATGTATTATTATTTTTTATTTACTTTTTAAATCGTTTTCCTTTTCAGAGTTTGTTTTTTTATTTTGTCAAAGAAATCATTGTATATATTATATTTTGTTTAGCTTCATGTGAATCTTAGCTGATTAAGTTTTATATTTTTTGTTATCTTTACCTAGAATGTTACCAATCTCTATACATTTCAGTAGCAAATCTTTTATTGTATAAACATTGTGCTGTCTCATATTGAATGTTTAATAATTTTCAACTTAGCCATTCGTCTAGTGTTTGATGTCACAAGAATTTATTCAACAGGGCAGATGAACTTTGATGCAGATCGGTGTACGACTTATACTTAATAAATGTATGAAAATTATTTTTTTGTTTTATTTATTTGATTGTTTTTGGGAAAATGTTGAAAATAATGAATACTAGCTGTGCCTGCGACTTTGTCCGCGTGAAACAGTCATTGAACTACGCGCGGTACTGGACAGTACAAGGATATTGCAACATTAATTTATTTTTCAAAAATAAACGTAGTCTAAGTTATTCCTTATAACATCATATAAAATTAAATCTTTATTGTCATCATAACAAAAACATATTATGCAGTAATTTAAAAAATGAAGCCAATGGGCTGCAGGGACAGCGTGTACCGCATGGCATGGCCATGCAGAGCTGATTTTCAGCTTGTTCCATTGTGCATTGGGCCACGTTGCGCTCGTTCAGAGGTGCCCATCAGCTCCTTTACAACCAATAGAATTTTAATAAAGTGGCGCCTAAAGGCAAGTATATATTCTTGGTAAAACCATACTTTTTGTTATAACACGCGCATGCGAAGTCATGGGCGACCACTAGTTTTTGAATGGAGTGAAATATTAATTATTCTTTTAGAGCGACATCTAGTGGCCTAATATGTTTTAAAAAGAATGGGTTTTACCTTTTTTAAAATAGATGTCACATGAATCGTACACAAATGACACTTTTGAAATCCAACTTTCTTACTTTATTATATTATTTGATATTTATTAATTACAAATACTTATATAAACTTAAAAAACTAATACTTAAGTTTGATAAAGCTATAGCGCAAAATTAAAATTCGTAAAAAAGATCCTACGTTGACTTATAACTTTGTATAAAATTTGTTGTGTTGAGTTACGTTGCCACTAGATGTCGTGAGAAGCAATTGTTGAAAATCAAAATCACGATATAGAGATTTGTGCCATTGTAATAAGGTGTGTGGGTGAGCCAAATCACGACAAGACCTTACTTCATAGGATCATTTCTATAGTAAGTTCTTCACGAGACCTTCACAACATGTGAGATTGTACCAACCACGTTGATGAGACGTGGCGCGGTGCCCTGAGCGTGAGGCGGGCGGCAGCAGCTCGCTGCCAGCCCTCGATGATCGTTCGCCCTCTGCGCAAGCGGGGGGTGTGGGGTGCTGTCGCTGTCTGAGTGGTTTTTTTAACTATTTATATATGTGGTGCGTGCTGTAGGAGGTGCATAGGAAGAACAACTACGTTCCGTACAAGGAAGAGAAGAACGAGACTATTTATGAACATAGTCCCGCTTTAACTGTTTTTCCCAACTTTATGTAAAATAAAATAAAGCCCGAGCTTTTCTATAAGAGCTTTATTATCAATCAAAATATTTATGTTACGGGGAGAAGAGATCGAATCCGTCAGTATTTGCAAAATTTACATTGAATTGGATACAAATTAAATTAAAACCGCCGGTCATGTTTTTACTATAATTTAAATAGACATTAATATTAATAATAAATATCTTACTTCCAGTACATTTGAATCTGGGGTTTGAAAATCAAACAAGTAAAAACTATTATTAAAATTTATATTTATAAAAAATCTTATGACATAATAACAATAAATAACATTAACACTAATGAGAAATGCATCAGTATAGTTTATTTTTGACATCTTAAATATTAGCGTAGGTTCACACTGCACAATGTGAATCTAGCCATAACATAAAAGTTTGTTACCACTGCAATGACACTTATTTAACACATCTTTGAAATAGATACTAATTGATAAATATTCCCCCTCATTTAATGTCGTCATTGGTCGTGCAGCTTTGTAGAGTAACGCGAACTATGTTTATACCACTAGGTATCAAGTTTCAAACTACAGCGTTTTTCTTTTCCAAAAATATTCACTTCCAAAATTTTAGAAAGGTTTTCTTTTGGGACTTCAGTAATGAAAACTCACTTTGAGTCAATAACTTAGAAAAAAATACATATTACGTTGGTATATTTTTGTTGACTAGGCCGAGTCCTACACACGAGATAATATTCGCTTCTCCTTCAGATTTTATTGTAAATTTTACCTGGAATAGTAAAAAATGCATATTTAATAAAAAAAAATAAGAATGAGGAATGAATTTGACTAAAATAGCAGTATTCCATTGGAACATTTACAATATAATATAAATTTCTAAATGTCGAATATATTTGAAATAAATATAAAAAAGAATATTTGTTGAACTTGGAAATTTATTGGGCATTTTTATTAATCTGTTTTACAGAAAGTCACATAGAGGGCATACAGATAAAAAATGAGACCTTAGCAATGAGTTCCGCTACGTGTACAGCAGTGTGTGTGTGCAGAGTGACCTCCCCGCACTTCACAGCGGACCTGCCTTCACACAGCAACATGTAAATTATCAACTGGTCCTGGAAATAAATATTATTTTAACTCTTACAAGAATTATTTACTTTTTACGTTGAAAAATATAATGACCTAGCTGTCGTCCGCGACTCCATCCGCGCCGGATACAAAAAATCTTAATTAGTTCCCGGTAATTATTCGAATTTTTCTCATCTTTTAACCTTCCCTAGACCTCCACGAACATTTTAAAAACAAGATAAGATAAATCCGTTCAGCGTTCTCGAATTTTAGCGAGACTATTGAACACCAATTGATTTTTATATATAGAAAAGAAACATTATTTTTAATTCAAATTTTAAAATTTTATTCAAGTAAATAATTTACAATACATTTAAAAGGTTGATAGGGCTTTTAGATTATTAAATTGATAACTAGTAGTTCTTTTAATCTTGTTGAATTAAAAAAAATAATAAATAGTAATGTACACATATTGTAGAAACCTGAGCGTGTGTGTCGAGACATGCGCCGCAGTGCAGGGCCGCGGTGACGTGTGCGGCGGCGCTTCGCCCCAGCGCGTAGGGCTCCGCCCCGCGGCGTCCCAGCGCGTCACCACCCAACACGCAACCCGTGCTGGTCTCGCACGCAACTCTTCAACAAAACATACATTATTAAACTAGAATAATATATCGTATAGCGTCGGTGGCTCATCTGCAGGTTCTGGGTTCGAATCCCGCCATGTACCAATGTGTTTTTTTCGATTTCCGATTTACATATGTACATTTATACGACGTTCTTACGGTGACGGAAACCATCGTGATACAACCTGCACATATCTGAGAAGAAATTCAAAGATAAGTGTGAAGTCAACCAACCCGCACTTGGCTAGAGTGTTTGACAATGGCCTAGTCAGCTCTAAGCTAGGGCAGGCTCTGAGCCTCTCCGTGGAGACATACAGTGAGCTAATAACTAACGAACAAGACTTTATTATTGGTTAGAGAGCAAAGCTTAACTGAACAAGTTGTCAGAGTACAAGAATACTTACATGATACCATTGCAGTTGTCGGGCGCCATGTTGGGGTCTTCCTTGTACGTCTGTATGTTGACATTTGGCAAGTTGATCAGCTCCGAACGAGCGCCTTCAGACATTTGATGCGCCATCTGATTTTGATATGGAAATTAAACAACAAAATTCCATATTACAATGCATGCACAATTTGAATTTTCCTCCTCGTAAGCATATTTAATATAATTATTAAAAAAAAAAAAGTTTAACAGAAGTATTTGAATGCTGGAATTTATTAGTAGATAATAACTAGGAGAAAATATTTAACTAATCAAATACTAGCTATCGCCCGCGACCTTATCCGCGAGGTATCCAAAAAAACTTAATTAGTGGCCTTTGCGTTCTTCCATCTATCCGTATATCCATCTTAACATTCACATTAGTAAGACACAATATTACTATTGGATTTTCACTTAAAAGAAAATAAATCCAATTATTCAAAGCTATACCTTAATAGGCAACCTGCCAGCAACAAAACTCCATCCCTGAACACATTTGACATCTCCTTGTTCAGTGATGTCCACACATTGCAGTTGCCGCACTGGCTTGATATCAAATGTCACATGACCACCACCACGAGGGAAGTAACTGTAATAATGAGATGACAGAAAGTTAATAGTTTTCAAATATCTCATTAGGGAACCTACCCACACTACGTGACTTAGGTGGGGGGGGAGGCGGAGTCCTAAAAATACTACGGTCAGTCACAGGAGGAGTGGGTTCGCTCAGGTTTTTGTCACGTAGTCGTTTGTTGTTATTTTTATAATACATAATTCACTACTAATTCTAGTATGCATGCAGTCTTATGCTATAAAGAAGAGTATGAGCCATTTTTATTTCAATTTTTGCCTGTGAAATGATTAAAAATCATAATTATGAATTACAACGTGAAAACTAAAGGGGAGGTGTTGGTCTTGGCGGGTACTACGTTTGGTCATCGAGGGGAGGGATGGGATGAAAAAACTTTAAAAAAATAGGTCACATAGTATGGGTATGTTCCCTTAGCTCTTAACTTCACATGTATCACTGCTTAGAACACAATGTTAAGTGTAGAGGAGCGTAGTGGTGGGATACAGGGCAAGAGCACTGCGCAGCTAACCTTGACCCAATAAGACTTATAAAAAGAAAAATACGTAATGTAATAACTTTTTTATTAATTATATAAAATAATCACAAACCTTGACATATTTAAGAGATAAAATAGAATGTGAAAACTTACCCCCTTCTATGTATCTTCCAGGAAAAGTCCACTTTGAACTTAAGTAGCAGTGGTCGTAGGACCACACACATGTAGTCAATCTGTGGTGCCATGTCTGCGTTGGTGCCACCTTTCAGATCCAGAGTTACTGGACCATCCGCCATTAATGCACAGGGTAATGCCACTTGGAGAAGTAAACTGATAGATCTGCAAATATTGTGGAAATAATTTGAGATTTATAGTAAACTATGTCACCTTCATCTGTATGAAATAAAAAGCTGGAGTTGCTTAGCTTATGCGTTAATTCAGAGTTTAATTTAACTCTACTGCAAATTTTATTCAGATCTGATGAGCTCTCTGGCATTACGTTATTAACAAACATCCATTCAAACTTTCGTTGCGAAGAAAATCCGAAAATGTGGCAGTGTATTGACCCAACTAGCCTTACTAAAATGTTTGTGCCCCCTCACAATTCATTCGGACACTGGACTTTGTAACGAAAGCACGTCATTCGCACGAAAGGATTCTAATTAATAATGTCTAAAAGTAGTGAGATTTTTAATGTGAAAATTGTTAGTAATCTTTTTTCCTTAGTATTCCGAGACATTTTAGGGCAGTATGATATACATGAACCTTTTACCCTGCTGTCTGTGTATCAGCTACATAATGGCCTCCTCGTAGCTTGCCAGGTATGAACTCAATATCCGTAGACCCAATG